AGGTTAAGTGATGTGTGTGTGTGTGTGTGTGTGTGTGTGTGTGTGTGTGTGTGTGTGTGTGTGTGTGTGTGTGTGTGTGTGTGTGTGTGTAACCACTGCAGAATTTCCACTTTTTTTCTGACATGCAACTTCTGCACCATTGTGTAATATGTAAAAACACAAACAAACGATTTGTTGACTAATTGTGTTACCAGGTGCTGAGTTCACGCGTCATGCTGAGGTGCTGTTCTACCCCGGCAACCAGCGCCTGTCCATCGTTCAGACCGGCCGAGGCCTTGACGACCACAACCACCTCACTGTGGATACCGTTCTCAGCGGCAGTGTGCCCTTCCTGCCCCCCGGAGCTGAAGTTACCATGGATCCCTTCAAGGAGACGTACCAGTACTACCCCTCCGGTAACAACCACACAAGATGCGAGACAAACTGTGCGTAACATCCGACGGTTCCTTTCGCCTGACATTGTGCCTCCATCTTTCTGCAGTCGCCACCTCCTCCTCTGTGAGGGAGTTTTCAGTCGTCTCGGCAGAGCGGGGCTCAGAGTCCTTCACCTTTCAGCTGAAACAGAACCTCACCTATCGCGACTGTCGACATGATAATCGTGCCGCCGCCCTGGAGACGCTGCAGATCACCATGGAGAGGGTGTTTGTGATGTACGTCAAGGAGGAGCGGATCCTGAGATACGCCATCACCAACAAGATCAGCCCAGTTGGAGGTGAGTCAAAGATGAACCGATGCACACGTGGTCCAGTCCAGGAAGTAATCAGGACTGTCATCCTAATGTTCTGTCTGAATTACCTTAAAAGACGACGTTTGTTATCGTACATCCTCTTCTTTCTCTTCCTTGTAATTCAAACAGCATTGCACAGATAATGACGACATTAAATGAAGTCGTATCTGGGGTTGGAACTGTGGAGTTAAATCTTCAGGGCAGCCTCCCTCTGGGTGCCCATTTGTTTTTCAGCCAGAGGTCATTAAAGCATGTAAAAGAAACAGAGCCGGCTGTAATACATGGCAGCTAAAAACAACATCATAAAATAAAGTAATCCAGGACACAGAGCAGAGAAAGAACAGGGATTTCAAAACAACTGTGAGAACCACATTTCAGAACTGATCCAGGAGAGAATGAGTGTTCGTCAGCATTTAAAAACTGGTCTCAGTTATGAAATAATGCACAATATCAACAAAACAAACAACCTGAAAAGTTTAGAATAAGTCATATTTGAAGAAGGGTTGCATCAGGAAGACTAATTAGGAGTAATATCACTCAGGTGTTGGCTCTGAACAGGTGATGTCTCGCCTTTAAACAGACCAACTTTGGCCCATCTTACTGGGATCAGTGTATTGAGACTGACGACCTAAATCCATCCCAGACCGTCCCTGTCACTCTGTAAGTGGGCGAACACACCGGAGGCGTTGAAAACGTGACATTCTCTCTTCCAGAACCCCAGCTAGAAACCAGACCACCTAGTAATTGTTGTATTGCTGCCACAGAAACCTCAGCCAAACCACGGCGCGGAGTTGGATGAAGCTCAGGTTTAAGCACACATGCTGCAAGCGGAGGATGGAGATAATTATACATCGAAACCATAGAAAACAATGTTAACATGTCTGTATTACCACCGCTGGTTCTGGGTTTATTGTCTACCAAAGGCTGTAGACACACTCGACCACTTTAAGGATGACGATGACCACAGTGTGCGTCACAGCTGACTGAGTGTTCGACTGCTTCAGTTTGTTCCTGCAGATGATCGACGTCTGTGACTTGAATCTGGACGACACTGTTTTGTAAAGTTAGCGAAATCTGAATAGAAGCATCAATATTTAATCAGATTTCAGCACGAGGAAAAAACAAATCAATCTTGGTGTGAAGAGAAAATGTGTTTTTTCCTGTTGGGTTTGGGATTCGTTTTTGTTTTTCTTGTACGTAAAACCAAAAATGACTGGATGGTTTTGTGGCAATGTGGCTTGGATAGCATGCTGATGTTCTGCAACAGATACAGAAATATTTATTTATCGTGACATTGGTATATGTTTGATCGGCTGTTGTTTTAGTTTTGTTTGTGCAATGGGCATTAGCTTCCTTAAGTTCAACTATGAGAGACTCCAACCATTATTTAAATATGTGTCATCTGTAAATCTGCCTAATGTGACTCACACTTTGGTCTATATGAAATTAGATTCTTAGTGGTGCGTCAGTAGTATTAGTTGCTGGTTAGCTAGTTTATGCAGGGAACAGTTGAGCAGTTCATCTTGACTGTATTTGTAGCGTGTACAGCTGACAGGTGGACTGGATGTTTCCATGGTTATTAACTCTCTATTACATCCAAGTGGAAAGTAAATGAAGCATCAAGAACCAGTGGCTGGTTGAGCACACAGCATTCTAGTAAACCGTTGTTTTAGAGTCAGAGTTTGTTTTTCTCACTTTTGTGTCACGGCGCAGTGGTTAGCATCGTCACCTCGCAGCTAAAAGGTCGCAGGTTCGTGTCCTAGTGAGGACACCCGGGATCTTTCTGCGTGGAGTCTCCATGTTCTCCCCGTGCAGCGTGGGTTGTCTCCGGGTTCTACGGCTTCCTCCCACAGTCCAGAAACATGCTGAGGTTAATTGGTGATTCTAAATTGTCCGTAGGTGTGAATGTGAGTGTGCTTGGTTGTCTGTCTCTAAGTGTAGCCCTGTGATAGACTGGTTACCTGTCCAGGTGAACCTGCCTTCACCCTGAGTCAGCTGGGATAGACTCCAGCCCCCCACAACCGTGGATTCAGCGTTGTAGAGATGATGGATGGATGGACTTTTGCGTTGTGTCACTTCTCCTTCACTGTTTAATTTGTACTCCTTATACAGCATCTACACTCGTCTGGATATCAGAGCAAAATGGTTACAGATATGGAACTGTGTAGAAACACAGCATGCGTCATGTTCTGCTTCTGTCAACACACATCACGCTCTCTTTACCCAGTCGATCTGATGAAAACCAGACAGTGACAGAAACAGACAAGAGACCTCGAAAGATGAAGAGGAAGAGGAAGGATTTAAGGCAGAAAGCGAGAGAGAGAGACAGTCTTTCCCTGGTTCTTGGATCCGGACCAAGTTTCTGTCATTTGAATGTCAACACGCTGATTAAAAAGGTTATGATGACATATGTCACACATGTACACGCTCACACACAGCAACGCACCCGGAGCACAGCTGGAAGAGCTTTCGGGGATCAGAGGTTTTGTAAACACAGGTTAAGTGATGTGTGTGTGTGTGTGTGTGTGTCTGTGTGAAACAGGGCATGTGTGTGTGTGTGTGTGTCAGTATTTGTGTTTGAGGGTCTTATGCTTTCTGGGAAATAATATCCCAGCCAATGACAGATCTTGCGGCGGGGGGGTTGCTGGGCAGAATAGCTGCCCAGTGATGTCATGAGAATCAGATATTGCAGATAAACTTAAGACTGATGGAGAACACGTTTACCTGAGTTGTTGCATCATTTAACTCAGGATTTGTGTTCTGTGTATGATTTCAGTCTAAACAATGGAGGCAGCAGTACTTGAACTGTGTATAATCTGTAGTACCTGGGCGTCAGCATGCAGAAGGTACGGGCGTGGATCTTTAACAGTCGGGGAAATAAAAATTTTTTAGTCAATAGTCTTCAAGTTGGCTCCGATTTTGTTGTCATAGATTTACTGAAAAAGTCCAGCTGGAGCCAGGACTAAGAAGTTTACCTCAGATCAGCAAAGAGTGAAGTCTCGTCCTGCGTTCTTTACTCAATGATCTCGTGTGTTTCTGCTGCAGCAACCGCTGAGTGAGAGCAGCCAGCCTGGAGCTCAGCACCCAGAAACAGCCCAGTGGTCCCATTCATCCCTCTGTTGGCCCAGACTGGGTTCAGCAAACACTGGAGCAGCTCTTTCCAACGTGCTTGTCAATACCGCATTATGTCAGCAAACTAATCAGTAATTACTCATAAAAATGCTTTAAAACAACCTGGTTAGAAGTAAAAAGAGTTCAGTCGTAGCAAAGTACGACTCTTAAATCATAAAAATAAATAAAAGTTTGGATTTCTTTGAGTCTTTATTTAGAACGCTCCCTCTGGAGCTACAGAACACAGAACTGGTAAAATCTCTGTAGCTGGTAAAACTGGTGAAAATCTCCTTTAAACATCTGGTTTTAAACTCGCGGATACGTTACTAAAACTGGACATCGTGGATCCCTTGCCTTTTTAACAAAGTGGTGTTTTTTTTCCGCCCCCTCAAATGCTGCTTTCATTACTCGAAACTCGACACCGTCTTAAATTTCAGGCTTTTTCCAATAAGTCAGTAAAAGTCAGTGATGATGGATAATTTTATGTTGCTCCGGGGCGGCGGGTCAGTGGATTTTAAGAGTAGCCGGTGCACCTTCAGCTACTGAGTGTGTGTGTGTGTATGAGTGTGTGAGAGAGTGTGTGTGTGTGTGTGTGAGTTTTGTAAAAAGCAACAGGTGGGAAGCTGCAGTCATCACTTTGATGGTGTGTAGTGGATGTGTGGGGAGTGTGTGTGTTCTCTCTCTCTCTCTCTCTCTCTCTCTCTCTCTCTCTCTCTCTCTCTCTAATTATCCCTCCGTCTTCTCTCCAGTCCACCATGTGTATCTCACCCTCTCATCTCTCCTCCTTCCCGGCCACATTCAGACTTTGAAGAGTTTCTCTCTCTCTCTGATAATGAGCCAAAATTGCTCTCTGGCCTCGGAAGATGAAAGCAAGCTGCTCGTGTGTGTGTCTGATTGTGTTTAGTGTGTTGTTGTTGTTGTCGTTTATGGTGGATGATGATGCCCCAGACAGTGAAGGAAAAGTCCAGCCTTAGCCGTCATTAGAGGCAGATGTATTACAGTTATGATGGTGTTGCTGGATTGCTTTGGGTGAAGTGGCCACATGGAGACATCATGACCGACTGGACTCCGGTGGTTTGGCGTCTAGACTCTTCTACAAAACCTATAATAATGCAAAGTGTTTTGGAGAAATGCTCAGACAGTGTTATTCATCAGTTTCCTTTTTTTTTTTAACCAAACCACAAATGTAACATCAGAATAGTCCTTGACATGAACGTTAAATAAGGCTTAAAGCTAACACTAATTAGCGTCTTCTCGGCGGTTTAGCATATGGTGCCGCGATCTGCTGTTTGTGCATATTTACACATCTCTCGCATTCCTCCCTAATGATTTCCCATGGCTTTTCTTTACTTTGCTGTTTTTATTTCTGATTTTCTAGAAATTAGTCTGAGGTTTGTTTTTGAAATTGTCCGTCTGAGCCGTGCGGTTTTGAGGAAACCCTGAACTCACATCCGCTCACTCATCTCCCTGTCTGTGCGTCGCCCCCTCGCCCTCTCATGTACATGTGCGCCTAACGTTGTCCATATGTCGAATATTGAGAACATGAAGGGAGTCGCTTCCTAAGAGGAAACCGTCCGATGGGAATTTGTCTGGAGCGGTGTTACATGTGTGTTTGGTTAAGCTGTCCTGTAATCATTGCTCTATTCATTGGACTTTTACTGGTGGATAATCCGATTTATCTTACATTTGGAGAGCTGAGTCTGCAGTTGTGTAGCTGAGCAAATAGCGGGGATGTTCTTAGTGTTTGGTCTTTTTCTGTCTCATTAGGTTTAGTGTAAGTTTAAATCTATTCATATGAGGAAATATGCTTAAATACAATTCCATTATGTGCTCCTTTATGCTGCTACTCCACCGTATTTCAAAGGGAAATATTGTTCCATTATACCTTCTACACATACTTATCCAGTTACTTCACAAATAGAAGACAATGATTGAATTAATGGATCAATAAAGTATTTCTGATTCTGACTCGAGTAATTGTACTGACACTAAGCTGGACGATTCCTACGTTTTCTATTCGAGCACATGTTACAACCTCCTGTCGACTAAATCCGTGAAGTAAAGCAACATTCTCTCTCTTTGATCCCTCAATTTTAGTTGAGCCTTCAGGGCCGGAGCTGGTCAACCCCTGCTATGCTGGAAACCACGACTGTGACACCACGGCCCAGTGCATCCCACTAGAGGGCCAGGCCTTCCAGTGCCAGTGTGCTACCGGCTACAGGGGAGATGGACGCAACTGTTACGGTATCTATCTATCTATCTATCTGTCACGTCTCTGAGCACTTTATTTGGACATGCTTGTGCACCTCATGCTGTTTCCTTTTAGATATACCGTGCAGCAGTGTGACAGTTTATGTACACGGCGCAGTGCTTTATGGTGCTCCTCTGCCTTTGCTTAGTCTAATGGTGCCTCTGCCCCACACAAATATACACACACAGAGTTAAAGACAGTTCAAGGAAGTGTGTCTGTGTTTCATCAACATCTGCCCATCTAGTGTCGAGGGGTCAAGTACAGGCTGGATGGATGCTATCCTCTGTACTCTCTTCATCCCATCCTGCCTCTCCCTTCTCTTCCTCAACCTTAATTCTTTACTTGAAAGGGACCTCCAGGATTTTAAGCCCATGCGTGGCCTGTCATTAGCCCAGCAGCAGGTCTGTCTCTCCTGCTGACAGCGCTAAGAAAGCCCCGGGCTCAGCCTCAGTTCCCATGGATGGGCCTCAGTGTCTCTCTGGTCGAAGTATCTCTGCGGGGTTTAGTCCTGTGTGTTGCACATGGCTTTAAGAATGCAGCCAAGAATCCAGGTGCGGGGGGGTACATGTTTTAGTAACACAAACAAGCATGCACACAATGTATACGTACCAAAAGCACCAGTAATGACCCTTAATTGCAGCTTTTATTCTCACATACACACATGTGGCCCGCTACGTGTTGCTAGACGGGGGATTCCTGGTTTGCAGACTTTGGAGTTTATAGAACACTGTCTCACTTTCTCTCTCTCTCGCTGCAGACATCGACGAGTGTGCTGAGGGTGCAGCTACATGCGGCGCTCATGCTCAGTGTGTGAACCTGCCCGGGAGCCACCGCTGCCAGTGTCAGAGCGGCTACGACTTTGGCTTTGATGGGCGTACCTGTGTTGGTGAGTTGCAGTTAATTTAAGACACGAGAATGAGAGGAAAGTCTGAAGTAATTAGGATACATCATCTGGGCACCATGAACATTGGTGTGAAATGTTGAGATAGTCCACTGGATAGGTGAATTTTTTTGTGTGTTTTTATGGTGTGAGAGAGTCGTAGCAGTACATTCTGAGGTAGCATGAATGTCTAGACAATCACATGCCATCCAATTATTGTTAACACATTTCATTACAATAAGATATAAGTACTGGATGGATACCACGATGTCTTCAGTTGCTAGAATAATCCGCACTAAAGCGGCTGTTTATTGCCTCAGAATTCCCCCGAGCAGCAGCGCTTGGCCTCCATGTGTGCACGAGTCTGTCGAAATGACTTCAGCACCTGTTAATCATCCTTGAAAAAGAATGAGAACCTCATTGTAGTGGTTGGTCTCGGAGCTGAGCGATCGTTTATCTGAAAATCTGCGTCAACAAATACATCAACTAAAAACCACGAAACATAAAAGTGTCAGCCAAAGCCACTAAACCTAAAATCTTTTTATTTTTTTTGCTGAATCAAGCTGTGTCATCTCTCCGCTTGTATGCATCGTAACTGTAATGCAAAGTATAAGAAACTGCCCGCAAACACATGTTAAAACAGTGGCGACCGTATCATTCTCCCATTTCCAAGTTCTTATCTGGTGCTTTGTTGACTGCAGTGGCTGGTCCCCTGAGCAGTGTTTTGAAACACAAAATACTCCCTGTTCCAAAATCAACCGAATATTTGGAGGAGACCCGCTTGCTTGTGTGAATGCAGGCGAACATTTCTTCCACAACAGTAATGCACAGCTGCAAAAGCGAGAAACACGGGGAGAGGGGAGGACCGATGACAAATGTGAGAACAGGGCTAATGTGAGAAGGAGGAGAAGGTGAGATTAGACAGGACAGGGGGTGAAGGGAAAGACAAATGGAGCAATGGCACAATGTGTTTGTTGCTTTGGAATGTGTGGAGGAGCAAGGTCCTGCTGGTGTGTGTGTGTGTGTGTGTGTGTGTGTGTGTGTGTGTGTGTGTGTGTGTCCTCCTTTCACCCATCAGCGTGAACTTTTGATGAACTTCCTCTGAGCCCTCCTTCCCCCCCTCCTTGACAAACGGAACTTTAATGTCATACTTTACATCTGAATTATTCAGTTATTTTAAAAATACATCTGAACTGAATTACACTCTGTATAGTCTACCGGCACACATTTGTACAGTTAATGGAGTTTTAAAATTCCAATTCCAGCATATCTTTGTACCTTCATGGTGGTTAATTCATTTCTCTGCCTCTGTTTGCTTAGATGTGGACGAGTGCAGCTCCTCTCCGTGTCACGTCAACGCCAGATGTGTCAATGATCTGGGCTCCTTCCAGTGTCAGTGCCAGACTGGGTTTTACGGTGATGGTTTCTACTGCTCCCAGCAAGAAGGTCAGCAGAACGGTTACCACAGTGATGCATGCATCTGAGCTCTCACAGTTAGTGCTGATCATGTGTTCTGGTATAGGTCACTGAAACATATCAGAAAGTTTATATATGAGTGTGGATGCTGTGAAAACCAAATAGGCTGCAAGGTGGCTCTGTGGTTAGCGCCGTCGCCTCACAGCTAGAAGGTCGCCGGTTCACGTGTGAGGACACCCGGGATCTTTCTGCGTGGAGTCTCCATGTTCTCCCCGTGCAGCGTGGGTTCTCTCCGGGTTCTCCGGCTTCCTCCCACAGTCCAGAAACATGCTGAGGTTAATTGGTGATTGTAAATTGTCCGTAGGTGTGAATGTGAGTGTGCTTGGTTGTCTGTCTCTAAGTGTAGCCCTGTGATAGACTGGTTACCTGTCCAGATGAACCTGCCTTCACCCTAAGTCAGCTGGGATAGACTCCAGCCCCCCTAGTGAGGATTAAGGTGTAGAGATAATGGATGGAATTTTCTGCAGGACAAACAGCTCGTCCAAGGAGCCAGTGTGAGCAGCACAGAGACAGTCTGCAGAGCGGAGTGGAACTCGGTGGACGTCCGAGCATCGGAGCCTTCATCCCTCAGTGCGACTCTGACGGACGATACCGACCGCTGCAGGTGGGCACCGACTGCCAGACTACTGAAGTGTCTCGCTGATGAGTTCAATGATGAACTGATTTTGAGGTTTAATGGCGTATTGCAGTGTCACGGCTCCACTGGACATTGTTGGTGTGTGGACAGCAGAGGACAGGAGCGAGCAGGAACCAGAACTCCACCTGGGACAGCACCCAGAGACTGTGACAGACCAGGTATTATCTATTTACCAAGAAGATGGTCTTCAGTTACACGGTCAGATAGAATAAAGGCATCAAAATATTCACCTGCTTCTCCTCAGATGAACCAGAGCGTCCTAAGACTCACTGTGAGCACCACAGAGACAGCGTACAGACCACCAGTCCAGAGGGCTATCCTTTATTTGGAGCCTATGCGCCTCAGTGTGATGAAAATGGACAGTACCTCCCTTTGCAGGTTAGTGATTAAGTGTTTGACAGGACTGGTCATCATCTGTGACTTAAAGAAAAGGACGTGTATTCATGCCTGAAGATACTTTATGATTTGCAGTGTCATAGTTCCACTGGGCAGTGCTGGTGTGTGGACAGTAGTGGAGAGGAGAAACGTGGAACCAGAACACCAGCTGGCACAACACCAACAGACTGCAGCAAGCTGGGTGAGGAAAATAAGTGTCCAAGTGCTTTTTGTGAGCGTTCTTTGAGCCAACTTGGTCAGACTGGACCACATAAACTAAAATCTTGAGTCTTGAACAATCGTTTTTATATTCTTATTATTTGTTGGTCCTCCTCTGTAGATGAGCGTTCTAAGACCCACTGTGAGCACCACAGGGACAGCGTGCAGACCACCACACCAGAGGGGCATCCTATAATTGGTGTCTATGTACCCCAGTGTGACGCAGAAGGACAGTACACACCGCTACAGGTCAGCATCGGATGCAAGATCAGCCAGTTTACACAAAGATGATCTGAAATTGTTTCTGAATCTCATAATAACTGACTGGACGACATGAAATACCTTTCAGTGTCATGGCTCCACTGGACATTGTTGGTGTGTGGACGGTAGGGGACAAGAAAGAGCAGGAACCCGGACATCGCCTGGAGAACCGCCCAAAGACTGTGACAAACCAGGTCAGTCATAATGGACGCTGACGGACATATTCAGCTATACATGAGGGCTTCAGGCTGTTTCGGTGTGAGCAGTATGAGAACCAGCATCGGCAGGTGTATGAAGTCATGAATCTCCAAGGCTTTCTTGTTAAACATTGACCTGTGAACCCACTAATTCCTCAACTCAATGACAAGTCAAACAGACGGCACGTTTACGTGAGTGTGTGTCTAACCTTGTAAGTGGTTCCCTATTGAGGTCATTGGGTCATAGCCTTGGAATGCCTGGAAAAACAGGTGATATCACTGTGAGAGCGTGTGTGTGGGGTTGGCGAGTCGAGAGCGGTAGAGCGAAAGAGTAAGATGAAGCTAAAAAAATATGAGAATAACAGGTATCTTTGGTGTCTAAACTGTTGCACTTGTGTTATTGTTGTATGAACTATAAGTGCTCACAGTTACAAACTGACTGGATAGATTTTTATGGGGTAATACCTGCCAGGTTGTAGTTCTATGGTTGTAAATGGCGACCTGGGGGCATACCACGGCAATATGCCAACAAAATGCCACATGTTACTCATATAACACATTTTGATCGTCATAAAAACTGTTGCTGAGTTTGTTTTGTTAAGAAATATCCAGCTAAACACGAAAAGGTTTACGGGCTTGGCCTGGAGTTTTATAATCCTGACAAATTTAAAGCTGATGCTTTCACTGACTAATAAGATCTGCTACACGGTGTTTTTTGCAACTGTGTGCCCAGCGGAGAAACATTTATGTTGTGTTACTAAAAGTAAGATGATCTTTTTGTTCATGAGACCACAGCAGTGAAAAGCCTGTTCCTTGAAGTTCTGACCATGTGTCCCACCTGCTAAACCTGAACACACATCAGTACTGCTCTGACCATATGTACATAACTCGTGAGCATAATTTTATTGTATTCATGTGTGAAATATCTTTTTAAATTATCAGACAGCAACATTTTTAATGCATTTCAATGTTTAGTCAATTTAGAATCATAGGATGGCTTCAGTTCAGTTCACTCTTATACATGCTTTAAAGAATCCTGTTAATGATTCTCCACCAGATGAACCAGAGCGTGTTAAAACTCACTGTGAGCACCACAGAGACCGTGTTCAGTCCACCAGCTCAGAGGGACATCCTGTCGCTGGAACCTACGTACCTCAGTGTGACGCTAACGGACAGTACATCCCACTACAGGTCAGCATTTATCAATTAAAAGCAACTTCAAATAGCGTGAAGAAATACAGGCAGAATCTGATAAAAATGATTTTTGCTTCAGTGTCACGGCTCCACTGGACATTGTTGGTGTGTGGACAGTCGAGGACAGGAGAGACCAGGAACCAGAACTCCACCTGGGACGACACCTAAAGACTGCGACAGACCAGGTAACACTCACAGTGTGTCGTTGTGGCCCCCGTGATTTAATGTTACATGTCATGAACAAAGTATGATTTCAGTCACAAGAAAAGAATGTTATCCAAAACGTTTGTGCCTATAATAAAGAAAATCCTGTAATGTTTGCATCCTCTCATCTTTACAACCAATTTTTAAACCCTCAGATGAACCGGAGCGTCCTAAAACACACTGTCAGCTGCACAGAGACAGCGTGCAGACCACCAGTCCAGATGGACGTCCCATACCAGGAGTGTTTGTACCCCAGTGTGATGCAAATGGACAGTACGCCCCTCAACAGGTATAATATATACAATACATGTCTGTAAGGATGGAGATCTGTGTCTTTTGTGATGACCGTTGCTGCTGTGTTTCAGTGTCACGGTTCCTCAGGACAGTGTTGGTGTGTGGACAGCAGGGGACAGGAGCGACCAGGAACCAGAACTCCACCTGGGACACCATCTGTAGACTGCCAGAGACCAGGTGAGGTTTCCAGCTGACTAAGACTGCATTCAAATCCCAGCTAAATCCAAAGGTGGAGGACAAAGTGAGTGGATTACCGTAACCAACCTCCAACATGTAGAGCAACCACTGTGCAGCTTTCTGATGAGCCGTAGCAGATCAGCCAGAAGGCATGATGAATGTGAGGACAGCTTGAGGAGGCCGGTAGCAGCAGTAGCAGCAAGGCTTTGGGTTGTGCCAACAGAGCTGACATATCAAGTGTGGAGAGCAGTATTATTGTTCTTAGCAGTCAACCAGGTGGAACATCAGTGCTCAAGATGTCTGGGGAAAACAGATGTCCCTACACAACCCTCATAAACGCATCCAGTAAGAATCAAGACAGAATTATCCAAGCTGCTTGAAAGCCTTTAAAAGTGGAATGCTTGTAAAGATATCAGAGGACAGGGAGAATCCAGCAAGAGCACGAAATGAGGTGACCTTAGATTGTTTACCTGGAGGCTCATCAGACAGAGCTGCATTGAGAATTCCTAAACATTATGACTGAGGAGCAGCACAAAGTCTGCGTGAGTGCATCGTGACTCACGTCTGTTTTGCAAGCGACGCCCACGTTTCCTAATAAATTGTCCAAATGTGTTTTTCATTCACACCCAGATGAGCCGCAACGCCCTAAGACACACTGCGAGCACCACCGAGACAGTGTGCAGACCACCGGGCCAGAGGGGTATCCCATAGTGGGAGCCTACGTACCTCAGTGTGATGCTAATGGACAGTATCTACCTCAGCAGGTTTACATTTGTTCTAAGACTTCCTGTCACCGTGTTTCACTGTGTGCTGCAATATTACTTTGAGTCATTGTACCTGATTCAGCTTCGACACTTCTTCTTGCCCTTTTTTTTGTCTAAATCATTTTTTTTTCTTATTATCATTATGTGTTCCAGTGCCATGGCTCTAGTGGACATTGTTGGTGTGTAGACAGTAGCGGACAGGAGAGACCAGGAACCAGAACTCCACCTGGAACACAACCCAGAGACTGTGACAAACCAGGCAAGACTGTTGCTTTGTCACTGTACTGATCATCAGATCTACTGTGTTTCTTACTGACAGGGAATGTGCAGTATGATGAGTACGACACAAGCCTTCTCTCCCTACATTTGGGATGAGATGTTGATGATGGCGGTCAGCCAGAGGGACTTAGGATAATTTATACATGAGTAGAGTTTGAACAAGCCGACGAGCGGAGTCATATGTTGTACAGCGTGGACCTACAACGGAGCAAGAAATGTCCGTAATGAACTCCAGGTTTTCATAATGAAAACTGTAGACTGTGCAGGAGTCATCGTTTAACTAACAAAGAGGACGGAGAGGTCTGTCGGAGTTCTTCTTGCCAAGATATTTAAATGTCATCGTGGAACAGGAGAAGTGTAGTTTTGGTAATCGGCCACTTTAAGTCCAGCAGGCCAATCTATGCAACGTTACTGACATGCTGACTCAATAAAGAATAACAACTCACCAGAGTGTTGTTAATTTTAGGTGAATTGCTCGAGACATTGATTGTGTTTATCTTAATGACTTGTGTAAACTTGTAAATGTTTTCCAGATGAACCAGAGCGCCCAAAAACTCCCTGTGAACACCACAGAGAACGAGCACAGGCTACTGCTTCGGAGGGCTATCCTATTGTTGGAGCGTACGTGCCCCAGTGTGATGCTGATGGACAGTACATCGCCCTACAGGTACAGAAAACCCCATATTCACACGGTAACAGAGTCATGAGAATATTTTCACTGGAAGGGGTCTTTAACTGTGTCTGTCCAACCTTTAACAAATCATAGAAAGATCAGTTGTCTTTCCTTGTTGTGTTAGTGCCACGGCTCCACTGGACATTGTTGGTGTGTGGACAGCAGTGGACAGGAGCGAACCGGAACCAGAACTCCACCTGGGACAACGCCCAAAGACTGCGACAGACCAGGTGAGCTCACTGTTTTCTGCTTGTGTTTTTGCAGGAGCTGTAACAAGGGGATTGCGACACATCTAAGAAGCTGCAGAACAGAATATAAGCGCAGGTTGATTACACATAATTTTTGGCAGCACAACAAGAGCACTGTGGGACGCTTGTAGAGGTTAAAGAGAATGTTTGAGACCCCAGCCAGGAGGTATTTACTGTAATTGATACAGAATGTGAGCGATGAGTAAGAGGTTTGTAGTTACGAGTTCTGCACCAAGAAAGCAGTTTATGTGGGAGTCACTGTTTAAACAGCAGAAATATTAAGAAGAATGAACAACATCGTCTTCTCTCAGCTGATTGTTGATAGAATAAGGAGGTAGTTTGTGATGCACAGACTCCAGCTACAGCCTGTGTGTCAAAGGAAGGAAAAGAAAGCTGGGTGTCATCTGCATAGCACTGGGACTCTTTTTACTCATCATCCTTAACAGACGGTTTCAGTCTGTAAAATGTCATTTATCACATATAGTCCAGCTAAAAACTCACGTGTATCCAAATAACTTTCCGTTCTTTTCCTCCAGCTGAGCCACAGCGTCCTAAGACCCACTGTGAGCACCACAGGGACAGCGTTCAGACCACCAGTCCAGAGGGCTATCCTGTGGTTGGAGCCTACGTACCTCAGTGTGACGCAGAAGGGCAGTACAGACCTCGACAGGTGAGACTGATGTATTTATGTGTTTTTTGCAGACGGAGTTCCTTCTTGCCCATTTGTGTAGTCTGAGAGCTCATGTTTCAGTTGTCATTTGACAGGTGAGTCCCAACCATTTATCTAATCTGCAGCTGGTTTGACATGAGGACTGTAAAGACGAGGACACTGAGGAACTACATTGCATGTGTCATTGCTCTGATTGGTTGTTGAGCTGTCCAGTTGTTGTCTGTGCCTGTTGACAGCAGGATGTTCCTCTTTCTTATTTCTATTCTTGTTCTCTTTAATAATACTCTTGTTGATCTTACGTATTGCAGTGTCACGGCTCCACTGGACATTGTTGGTGTGTGGACAGTCGGGGACAGGAGAGACCAGGAACCAAGACTCCACCTGGTGCAGCTCGTGTAGACTGTGACAAACCAGGTGAGGCTGCTGATTCCACACAAGCTGCACAGCCAGCAGCCATGTTAGCTTAGCATTAACCTTGTCGTGTAGCTCATGGATAGAAAGCAAATAAACATATTCCCAGAAATTCTAAACTGAACAACTTCCTTTAAAACAGCAAAAGACGCCTTTGATTAGACTTCTGCAAGTATTTTACATGAAGACGCCGCATCAGGAAATCTACTGATACAACAAATAATTTAATAGACTAAACAGCAAACATCCAAAACTGATTGATAAGAAAAAAAACCTTTACATTTGAGACAAACCCTATCACCTGAGACTCTGCTCTCTCTGCGACGCTGTGATTCTCCCTCGTCCTCTCACTCACTCTTGAATACACACAGAGGCTGTTCTATAAATTCTGTCCTCGCTATAAATTCCATTTATGACCATCCTAACATCTGAAGTGGTCATTTTGTGGTGAGATGAGCTGCCAGCTGTTGCCGTGCAACCAAACCAAACAAGGCCCGAGCAGCAGAGTGACAACGCAGCGTTACACCCACCGCACACACATGCTGCACACACTCACCGACACACACACGTTGTTGTGTTATCTCTGTGAGCTCAAATGTGTGTGTTTGCTCTGATCTTAAAAACGTTTCATTATCCGTCTCATGCCTCCTGTTACACCTGCTCAGTCGTTCCACACTCTGTTTTAGTCCAGTGGCAAAAGCAATGAAGTCTTATGCAGGACTTTCCTCCTAATGTTTGGTGATAAGGAGGCAGCATCATGTCTTGCTCGTTTCTGGTTTGGGATTCACGTCCTCTTTACCACGACACATCATGTGAGTGGATTTAATGCCATCATTTGTTAATTTTATTTGTATTCACAACTTAAATTTGCAACAAATGTCGTCGTTAATGTGATGCAGGCATCAAACAGCCACATGAAAGGCTCCTATTAGTGTGCTATTTGGAGTCAGCCTGTATTTATGTGGACCCACATAAGTAATACAGTCAGTGCCAACACAGTAAGTTAGTCTGAGGACTGAAAACTCATCAATTTGCTGCTTTTTTTCTAAACCACTAAACTCAGTAGGTCATGTGGTTGGACAGTAAATAGACATAAAACCAAGTGATTCATCAGACTGAATTGCAGCATGCCAGCTGCCACTGAAATAAATACTGCTGGAAAAAACTAAATGGGTTTAATTGTTTTGTTAATCTTGCTCTTTTTACCTTTCTGATCTCTCACTGGAGTTGTTCTTTTCTCGCTCTCTGTTCAGATATTATCCTAATCTCCTTCTACGTCTACAAAGTCTCACAGTAGAAACTCGCAGAGCGAGAGAGCGAGGCCTGTATAAACACTGTAGAGGCCTAAAGTGGTTTCGGGTTTAGTTTTAAAGCTCTTCTATAAAGTGAGTTATTAAAGGGATTTTAAAATGGTAAACAGTTTTGACAAAAGCAGGGTGTGTGTATGTGCGCGCCTCTTTAAACACAGGGCGTCCTCACACCGTTAATCAAGCGCTCCTACTATCACTGCAGCATAAACTCAGCAGGCAGCAGAAACATGTCGGCAATATAACCGAATAAAAAATGACAAACTGCAACCGAACAGGCTCTGGATTTGAATTTTACGACTAGGTTGGATTATATTTAGCTTAAAAAGGATTTGTGTCCCCTTTAGTCTCCGTAGTTCCGACCCTTCGGCCTGAGAGTGTGTGTGAGCGATGGAGGGCCAGCTTGATTGAGCACTATGGAGGAAAACCAGAACCACAGCAGTACGTGCCCCAGTGTGAGCCGGATGGACAGTTCAGGTACTCGCCACACATGTGACTGAAATGGTTTTTAAATTTATACAAGAAAAATAATCCTTGTGCTCTCTCAGTCCAGTCCAGTGTTACGGGGAGACTACCTACTGCTGGTGTGTGGACCAGGACGGGCGGGAGGTTCCTGGTACCCGGTCACATGACGTTGTTAAGCCTGCATGTGAGTGTCTGTTGTCATGACATTATATTGGATATATGAGGTTAACAGTCAACATTAATGGCGTTTTTAATCCGTCTCTTCCTGCCCCAGGTCTCCCCTCAGTGGCCCCGCCCACTGTACGCCCACTGCCCCGCCCAGATGTGACCCCTCCACCCAACACTGACGTCACGCTGCTGTACGCTCAGGGGCAGAAAATAGGAGCGCTGCCCCTCAACGGGACCAGACTGGATGCAAGCCGCTCCAAAACACTGTTGACTCTGCATGTAAGACATGAGTGGATAGATGCACGGTTACCTTTGATTCTTTTAAAAGAAATTAAAAGTAAACAAAAGAAAGAACGTGACAAAGATGTAACTTAACCTCATCTTCCATTTTGAAGTCAGAACAGCAGTCATACTGATCTTATACATTTTAGCAACAAGGAAGCGGTCTGACAGTCTGGGGATGTGTTGTTCAGACTGACATCTGCTGCCAGTGAATACGTTGTACCTTCATTTCAGTAAATATCTGACCAGTAAAATAAATACTGTATCAGTTATATTTCGGTAAAGCTTTGTTCTTCATGCTGATGATTCAGCTCAGGCTCGTGTCCAAGGTTGTCTTTTTAATTCAATACCTGTGACTAATGTTCGTGGTGTTGTTAGATGATATGACTTATGTCCAACTTTGTAAACTGATCAGGACTGCAACTCCTTCCTCGTACAGCCTGTAATTATTCTGTGTGTCCTGATTGTGTGTGTTCAGGGTTCCATAGTTGTTGGTATCGCCTACGACTGCAAAGAGAACCACGTCTATTGGACGGACTTGTCCGCCAGAACCATCAACAGAGCTTTAATGGCACCTGGAGCTGAGCCTGTGGTGCTAATCAACACGAGTAAGACGACACACTCACGCTGCTTCGTTTCTAGAATGAACAAATGAAGGTTTTTAACGAGTTCAATCCTCTCTGTGCGCTCTGTCTGTAGACCTCGTCAGTCCAGAGGGTTTGGCAGTGGACGTCAAACGCAGGCTGATGTTCTGGGTCGACTCAACACCTGACGTGATTGAAAGCGCCAACCTGGACGGCAGTGGGAGACGGACCTTGTTTGAGACAGACCTGGTCAACCCCCGAGCCATCATAGTGGTTTCTTCCACCGGGTAAAACCATTTGTTTTGGCTTATTTAAAGGTTCACATAAAAACATCTGAAGTTGTTTTACTTGCCTCTTGTAAAGCTCTGGGACACTTTAGTCTGGATTTGCAAACATGTACGAATCTTTTCCCTGAGCAAGAAACAAACAAGCGCCCACACACTCTCTTCGCGATCAAGTGTAACATCCTGGAGGTGCTGCACTGGGCCTGAACCGGCCCGTCTGTCATCACGGGGATCTCATGTCAGGAGAGGGCGCACATGGTTTTTAGTCCACGGCCACGACCATGAAGTTAAACACAAGTTCACAAACACACGATGAGTCAACAAGGCCTGTACCTAATTCATTAGTACAGTGCAAATTACGTAAAAGAGCGAGACGTTTTGTTGAGTCTGGTTATAGGCTTAGGGCTGTGATCTAAACATGACTTCATCAGTGTGAGACGGGCCGTCGTAGGGAAATTGATGGGCTTTTGGATTTTCGGGTGGAGTCTCCACTTTAGTTCTGCATGTTTGATAAGTCTGTCATATAAGTGATTTTTAGTGAGTTCTCTGTGGGTGTTGCACCAAACTGAGCCAAGAGAACTGTACTGACGATATTAATCCTGGACACACAAAGTGAAAGCATGAGGCCGTCACTGGTCAGCGCTCCAGGAACCACATCTGCTTTTCATCACTGCAACTAATCACATAATCAACAGTTATGTGCGTGTGTGTGTGTTAATGTGGTTGATACAAATGATTAAAAAAAGCAGCAATAAGCTAAATCATAAAACCTTGAAAGTTTGTTCCACATTATTGATTTGACAGCTTCGACTTTATTTTCTGACTCGAGGCCAAATATGTGTGTGTGTGTTCTGACTGAAAGCCAAGTCCTAAATGTAATTACTGCTTCACAGGGGTACACTTATGATCAAGCATGTGCTCTGTGATTTCGGAGCCTCCACATGTTCCCCGCACACAGACGCACCAAAATTATATGCACACGCATTACAAAAGCATGTACGCATGTATGAACGTCTCATACATCTGCCGCCCCGCGCCTTCATCACATCCATGCACATGTGGTGTGTGTGGACGCTGATTGCTCATGTGGTGTGTATTACCTATAGTTCCCAGTGGACTGCCCACATGTACACCATCATCCACAGATGAAAAGCAGCGTGGCGTCATCAGCGGCCCACACACGCGCTGCCTGAACGCTGTGTTGTCACCCAGCTAATTTGTGGCGTTATGAAATGAAGATCTAATTTGGTTCCGTACTAAAACACATCAATGAGAAATATGAAGACGTTGGTTTATTCAGCAGTTGGATTTTTTGTGCGAGGCGGTGTGGTCCATATTTTCTGATGTATACACGTGAAACACGACCAAAAAATGCACTTTCAGAACGGAGGTCAGAGGTCACATGTTGCTCAGAGTAACCTGACCATGACCTCATCAGCATGAGACAGCTGCTCCCTGGAGCCCTGTGCTATTACACCCTCATGTACCCGTGTGTGTGTGTGTGTGTGTGTGTGTGTGTGTGGTTGTGGCTGTATGCATGCTTGTGTATGGTTTTCCTCTTGTCTCATTATATTAGCCAGATCCCAGCACTCAGCACCAGAACAAGTCAATGCTACAACTCAGCCTAACTGCAAAAACAAGTTTCCTTGTCTCACTGTATCCATCAGCATCATGTAAACCAGTTCAGAATAAGTGAATAATTCACAGAATTTAATATGAGGCCAACAATCTCTCTCCTCTGTTTCTCTCTGCAGGACTCTCTATTGGACAGATTGGAACAGAGAAGCTCCGAAGATCGAGAGTTCATCAGTGGACGGTCAAAACCGCAAAGTGGTCGTGTCTGACGGCATCGGTTTGCCCAACGCTCTAACATACGACTATTCTTCTGGGCAGATCTGCTGGGCCGATGCAGGTAAACACGGCTCACCTGATCCTTGTTTATGCCCCAAGCAGGATTTCCAGTTATGCTGTTGTCTTCACACACTTTCCTGTTTCTGTTGTCAAACAGCAGAAGATGGCCTCGTGCTTGAAACTGAGCCATTAGGACTTCATGTTAAGAACTGCTAAATGATTGATTTTATAGCTGCACCATCGCCCGGCAAACTCACCATGCACATGAGTTAAAAACTGCAGCTTTGCTGTGAGTTTGGTGTAAATTGATAATATTGTAAAATGGTTAATTGACCTCGATTTCACCTGCTGGACCGTCAACTTTTTTGCTGTGTGCTGGCAATCACAAATGCAGAGAGAATCCTGAAGGGAGTGTAGACAACAGCAGCTGCATTTACCCAGAGGTCATGAGGAAATGAACCATGTTTGTGGTATTTTGAGCTGAAAAATTGAAAGTCATGCTGTGAGGAAATGTGAGACTTTCATTAATTTGCTGAACAGCGGCGCAATCTGGAGCCTTTAAGATGAGATGTGCATCATCTAAACCATTGGACTGTACTGCTAACACAGTGTACAAAAACACAGATCAATCTGTTTTGCACATTCCCAACACTCACGCTTCATATTTAGCACACTAGTCTTCTTATGCTCGTCGTCAGTGTCTTTACTGCTGCCAGCCAACAGTTAGAATGCAACAGGAAACCCAAAGTCCACCTCAGCTGCTAATGGTCCACGTTGTTCTGCTCTCAGGTACAAAGAGTCTGGAGTGTATATCTCCAGACGGTTCTGGTCGGAGAGTGACCCACTCCAGCCTCAACTACCCATTCAGCATGGTCTACTACAGGAACCACTTCTACTACACTGACTGGAGGAGGTAGCGTCCCCCTTCTTCATCCTCTGGTCTACCAGAACCAGCCTCTGTCTCTAATCATTACTGATCACTAATCAATGAGCCGATCGGCCCTGGTACTCATCAGTCTTCTGCCTCACAGGGACGGCGTGATCGCGGTGAGCAAAGACAGCAGTCAGTTCACTGACGAGTACTTACCTGACCAGCGCTCTCACCTGTACGGCATCGCCATAGCAACCAGCCACTGTCTACCAGGTGAGATACGCATCAACAGAACACTGTAGTGAACGCACAACATGGTCCCGTGTTTAAACGTGGCTGATTAGCTGTTGCTTACAAACACACACACACACACACACACACACACTCGCTGCACTGATCAGATGCTTCAGTTTAACTGTATAATAACAACCAAATGCCTTGTCTCTCTTTCACACACACACACACACACACACACACACACACACGCAGACTTCAAGGTGTTACAGACAGTGAGCTCATTGGTGCGTATGCAGTGATGTCATCACATCAGTCAACTCCCACCAGATGTTGCTTTAACCCTGAAGGCTGCATTTACACCGAGATAGAAAACACAGTCGAGCCTGCTGCGTTCAAGTGTGTCGGAAACACGGCAAAGTCAACCTTCCTCTGCAGGTTAGCCGCCCTAATGTCAGGACCAGCACAGAGTAGGTCACCTGCATGTTGGCAGCACTCGGCCCACAGTCGCTGCAAAAGAACTTGAAAATCAACAGTGCTTTGGGTTGAAGTTCTGAGAGAGAATTATGGATGCATGTCTTCATATTCAGCGACCCTAGTGAGGAGTAAGCGGTGTATAGATGATGGATGGATGTTCAGTGAGGGAAAACGAGCCAGAGAAGAATTTACGAGGACACTTTTTGTGGAAGCACACATGAAATCCTGGAGAACAGAGTGACGAATGCCACAGCAGATTTCTGTGGATGATGTAAATGCAGCCTGTGTGTCTCCAGTAAGCTCGTGTTTCATCGCCCTGCGTCCAAAAACAGTCATCACACAGCTGGCTTACAGACGCTGCTCCACACCTATACCTGTGTGCGTATGCTGACTTCACATCCAGCACGAAGCGGACCAGAACAATGATTACACAGCTGTCTGCGCCCCTCTACTTGTGACCTGTGTGTGCGTACATGAGGCCAGAGAACAATGATTACACAGCTGTGTGCGACCCTCTACCTGTATTTTGCAGGTTTGATGTGTTGATGTGTGCAGATGGCTTCACGTCCTTTCAAAGCCTCGCGTTAAACGCCTTCAAAGCACCAAGTAGGCCTTTAAACACAGGATAATCCCTAAAGTAGCACCTTGGCAGATGTCATTGTCAAAGCTACGCACATCTGCAGAGAGTAAAATCTGCTCACGATAGAAGAGATTACGCACACGGTGGAGTCTCAGAACGGTCAGAGGGACGACTAACAGTGACGTCCTGCGACGCTGTGAGGCCTCCGACTGGATGAGAGCCGCTCGCTTCAAAGATGTGGATGTTTGGTGTAATTCTGAGCATGATGACAGCTCTAAAGCACACTTGTTAGGGGTGTGAGAGCCGCTTGTAAGAGGCTTAAAAGCTGTTATTGTTGAATGCATGAACACACACGTGCTCTTTACACAGATGACTCTCAGCGGCCACAAGCTGTTAAATGCAGGCCTGTAGATGGAGGCTCTGTTTGTTCTGTCATTAGGCCTCTGCAGCGCCGAAGCTTTCATCCTCCAACGTTTGGATTCGCACAGGAAGCAGAATCAGCCCGTTAGCTTCTCATTTCCACCCGGATCTTTAGGGAGAAGCACTTCCACTAGAAAATTGAATGTGTCAAAGTGATAAAGTGGCGTCTTGTGTCGTGTCACAGGGAGCCACTAACGACGGAGCGGCAGCCGCAGGGTCCTTTGGTGCTAAAGTTCTGGGCGATGTGTGGGCGGGGGGCTACGAGACCCGGTCCACCGTCCCTCAGAAAGGAGGACACTCAGAAGGGAGCGAGACGGCTTCCTGCTGCCCCACCAGCCATCAGAGCAAATTTACAGCCCTCCACCCGTCCCCATTATCTCACCGTAAAGATATAACCCAAAGTAAATGCTTTGTAAATTTGTTTTATACCTCATTTTAGTTTGTTTGTTTTTTTTTTCTACTGTATTTTTGTATTTTGTGAGTTGTTGTTTTGTTTTTCTATCTATTAAATCTACAGAACAATGAAATCAGATTGTAAAATGTATGTGAGTGTAGGTGACACGAAGCTTTGAAACGCTGTGAAACGGAGCGTCGGCTTTTACATTCAGCGGTTCACCAGTCGGCTTTCTGAGTAGAAACGATCACAATAAAGGAACAGTTTGATTTTTTTGTCTCTCTTCATAAGTGTTGGATGAGAAGATTGATTCCACGTTCACATCTGTACGTTGACTATAAAGCCAGAACCAGCAGAACTTAGGAGCAAAAGCAGGAGGGGAAACTAAATAATTACCTTTATTTCTTGCTTAATTGGTATAAAACTGAATTGAATGTGGTTTGAGGGGGAGCTACCAGACTCGCTGTTGTCCTGCTTCAGTCGGGTCCATCGGTTTGCTGCTTCAGAGCCTGTTCAGTATTCAGAGGCATCGATCTTCTCATCAACCCTCATTAAGAGTTTTTCCAAACGACAACAGAACAGTTTACAGGAATCAACTGAAAGCCTGAGGACTGGTCATTCATTACCTGAAGAGAACATAATGCTGGATTACCAACTTCTGAACATTGTTGACTGATGTCACGTCAGTAATCAGATTACTGTGATCTGAGCCCTGTGTCCGACCACAGCGACCACATCTCTCTGCACGACTAATCTGTATTTCACACACCATGAAACAACCTTTTTTTTTTGCCAAATATTTTTTACTACTACTACTTCTCAAATCTTTATCTTTTTATAAGATGTGATATTTATAACAATAAAATGTGATTTGGTACGTGGTGGGGTCTCTGTGTTTGTCTGAATGATCACGTAATTCAAAATATCCACCATAGAAGAAACACAGGAGCCAAACTGTTCAGCTGGATTCTGTATTTTCCCCAAACAGCATCAGCGTAAACCACTTCAAAATAACCGTGTCTTCTTCTTTTCTTCAGAAACAAATATAACTTTCGGTTTGAATATCTCAGAGGCGCTGATGGCCGGAGAGTATCAGGTTCAACCTCAGTCTGAAACGATTGGTTATCTAACATGTTGGCAGAGATGAGGACAGTTGTGACTACTGTTTTGTAATCCATGCTGCTGCACAAAAAGCGTCAGCATCTGAGGACTCACGTTTGCTCCGTTCCCCGTCCAAACAGCCCGATCATGCAACAACAACAAAAAATTCTACTTGAATCACGTCCACTGGAACAACAAAAAGAAAAGGCTTCTCTTCTGAAAATCAAATTAAAAACTCCCGTGGTTCAGTCCCTTCGCCTCCCTCTCCGTCCTCGCTCTCATCTGCCCACCTTCCCCAGCCTGTGGTCTGTCTTGGGGTCGGCGATGATGGCCTGCACGGCCACGATGGCCTCGTTGATCTTGGTCTGCAGCTCCCTCAGCTCCTCGATGTGCAGCAGGCGCAGGATCTGTGCCGCTTCGTTCAGCGTCGCATCTGAGGGGAGATTTATTTTACTTTCCCACACATGATGAAGTTTTATAGGAGACACATGTTGACACTGCTGCTCGCCACAGAACTCGAGGATGTTTCTGACCGCAGCGCTGCCCGCCCGAGAGGACGTCCGCACGCTGATAAACCGCCTCGTGTCAAACAATCCAAACAAGCATCAATCTGCCCTTCCGGCACTTTCTTTTTACATCATAATGTCCAAAAAGCTGCACTCACCTCCAGTGTCGAAACCCAAGATGTGCTTGTCTAAAGCTACTGGAATACCCTGGAGAGGAAAGAACAACACACACAGCAGACATGATCAGCCGGACTGGACCCAGAACGACGTCGATGTTTTGCTGAAATCACTTCATCTTCGTTTAATCATCTGAGCTCGTGTGTTCCGTTTACCTCTTTGTTCTGGCTCGCTTTAGCGATGGCTTCTGGAGAAAGTCTCTCCTGGATGAGGATGCGAATGGCCTGGCAGGTCCACATGAAAGCACAGACAAACCGGTTATTATGACACCTGTCTCAAGTTCTAATCCATGAGATCTGCATGAAACAACACCTATTACGTTTACAGGCTGTGTGGTTTCCCTCGGCCGCAGGATTTGCAGGTAATTTATTCTGACTCTGCTGAACTTTAATCTGTATGAACTCTGATGTTTTCTGCTGCTGTTTGTTCACATTAAAAGTACATAACGATGAGCACTTCACGACCATTCTGCTATAGGGGAGAAAAACGCTCTGGTTTGATTGTGTTTCTTTAAACTAACCACTATCATCTTGGCAAAGGATGCTGCTTCTGCCTCCACAATAGTGACGTGTATGATTGTACCGACTGCCTGACTGAACGATCCAAATCCTCGGCAAAACTTGAAATTGTCACTGTTTATGTTGCTGTTGTTTGGGGGATTTCAGAAATGATAACATGCAGGTAACATGAGGGAAAGCCATGGAAACAATCGGCCACATCTCACCACTTTAAGAGCTGACACACCAACTCCAAACGCTGAGTACAGATTCAGAAACATAAGAGAACTGATGTTAAGATGTGGCACATGAGCCGACTGTCACCTTGAGCATGACCAGGTAGTCGTCGTGTCGCTGGATCTTGAGGATGTTCGACAGAGCTGTAACTCCTGCTTTGAAATCTGGAGAACTACCTGCAAGACACAGACATGATTTAATGTTTATCCGAGATCACAGGGCCGGAGAGAAAACAGGAGGGACGGGGCGGTTCTACTCACTGTCCAGGTTGACCAGAGGATCCACGGCTTTGTCACTGTTGCTGGAGGCTGCCAGCGGCTGGCAGTTCTTATACTTCTCCACTGAGGCAACACACAAGGAAACACACAGACTCTTATTGACCTGTTCTGAATCATCAGCAGTGACTACGCTGCTCAACAGGAAACATTATTCCTTTTAAAATGCCTCCACCTACTGGCCAGCATCAGTACTGCAGCTGGAACATGTAAACAGTCCAGAGCAGCACTTATAACATTTTATCTCGTCACACCTCCAGATAAAGTGAACTACAAGTAACCTGCTGTGTGCACGTAACTGATAGACACACAGTAATAAAGCAGCTGGACGCTGAGCTGAACAATTAATCCTTTTTTAAAAAATTCTATTCTATTCTCTTCATATATTCACAACATGTGTCATCTCATAGCACCTCACAGAGTAACCTTATGAATTTTAAACAAATCGAAACAGTGCAATTAGCAAATCACAAGTGTAGAATAGATCCTATACAGCACATGTGACCCAAAATTAGTTTGTTATTAATGAAACTTTTTTCTAAGTGCTGCTCCTGAGCCATGAATGACCGACCTGTTGTCTAAGATAGTTCACAGCAATATCCACTGTTTTATTTACCTCGAAACAGTCACATTGTTCTGTCCTCTATCCCATTCACAGAAATGTTTGAAGTGATTTATATCTGTTCTGATGTGTCTAATGTGGTCATCCATTACCTCCTTCATATAGGAACAGTGAATATTGAACTAAAGCTTTAAACTATTAGTTTGCAAATCAGAATATCTGTTAGACAAACTGCAGTTCCTCAGATCGTTCACTCCTATTAGCCACAGTGATCTTTCAGAGCTCTTCATCCCATCAGATGTACACGAGCTGCCGTCTCACCGTTGTCTCCATATTCGTAGCGAACAGCCAGGCCCAGCAGCCAGTCCACAGCCTCCTGCCTCGCCTCCACTCCAAACGGACAGTTCACATCCTGCAGGTACTGCACAGAGAGACAGACAACACAGCTCAGTGTGACATTCACACCACACCTGTCTGGTAGAAGCCAACGTAACACTCTATGAATGATGTCTCCTATTTGAGCTAGAACCTTGAAGTTTGAGCTCCTTCAGACCGTCTCACCTTCTGGTAGGCTTTGGGCCAGTCTGAGCTGGGGATGTTCCTCAGGTTGCCTCTGTCCTCGATCTTATAATGTCGGATCTTCTGGTCTTCCAGCCACACGATGCAGTTCCTGAACTGAGTCTCATCTGAGCAGGAATCAGAATCAGAAATACTTTGTTTATCCCAGAGGGAGAGTTTTCTCTTTTCTTATATGCACATTTGAATAAAGATAGATATATAAGAAGAGCAAAACGAAATAAAAATTAAGAATAGAAAAGTACATAAGGTTCACATTCACTGATCAGTGGATCCAGTGAACAGCTCAGCAGCTGCACAGTCACTGGATGATCACATAAATCTGTAGAGAGCAGAGCAGCTGCTGAATCATGTCGGTGCTTATTTAGGGACACAAACAGATGAGCCAGATCTCTGCTGGGACTCCAGTGAACTGATACCCACAGACAAGGAATGAAACCCAACTTGTGTTGATCACATTAGTCTCAGTATGGTTAGTTACTGCCAACTAAATTACACGTTTTCGAAAAACAGAGTACAACACGGACTAGTCAGTGTGAATAAGACTGTGGACTAAATGAATTGAGAAGCTTCACTAAACAACCTAAACAGTGAGTTATCATGAAAGCTAGCTATGCCGAATGAAAGAGTGGGACAGTGACAAGTTGTAAGAGTTGTCATGTTGCGCTTTCAGCACACACACATGTCCTTCGGCCAAAAAGATCCCTTAAACTACAGTTTTACGAACAGAGTCTGGTAGTTCGTGGCACCGTCCAGTGACATGACCCGGAATACGTGTGTGCGTTAGCCGGCTCCACGTTACACCAAACAGCCGGTAGAAGAGCTCTTAGAGGAGCTGGTTCCTACCTGTGCAGTCAAACCCGTTGGGATTGTGATAATCTAGAGCAGTCAGTTTTCTCCGAAACATTTCACCGAGTGTTTAATCCGCAAACCGTTGCTTTAGCTAACAGAGGCTAACTTGTCTGTTTCTTCTGCTAGCTCGGTATGTGGCATTGCGCATGCGCCGGCGTATCCCATACAACCTCCTCTTTTGACTATCAAAATAAAATTCTCCCGCTGACCATGAACACGACACAAACGTCGTTAACCAATAGTAGTGTTAGACCAGCTTCTCTACATTTTTTTTTATTTTGGCTTTAAGTATTCAAACCGCAGATTTGAAATATATTAACCGGAATCATAATTTGAAGTCCTGATGGTTCAACTTCCTGTTACAAGCATCCCAGAGAAGTTAAAGTTCACTCCATTAAAGCCCTTTCCATAAGTTTTTTAATTTAGACATATTGCTGAGGTGCCATCAAGGATTTAAACTCTAAATATGTTTGTTCAATGCAAACTGGCTGAAATGTGATAAAATGAAGAGTTTTTTCCATAAACACCTCCACCACATAAAACTAAAACTCAACACCCATATCAGTACGTCACACAGAAAACGGCCGAGACTTTGGAAAAAAAAAAAAAGACAACTTTATTTCACATCACATTTTATAAAATGAGGCAAAACCATCAGAGATGATTAAAAAGTAAAACAAAACAACAAAAACGAACAGGTTTGTTGTAGGTCTGTGTGTGTTCAGAAGGGCCTCATTCGTGCGCTCAGCGGCGGGGCTCTGTTGGGCGGCGTGATCGCTATATCCAGATAGTCTCCGATCTGGAAGCGCTGAGACTGCAACGTCATGGAGTCATCTGCACCCTTCCTGCCGGACACAGTGCTGCCGATGTCTTTCAACCTGGAGGGAGGCGGGAGAGAAAAGGTGAATTCAGCACGTCATGTAACTCCATGAATCTGCTCAGCGCTGTTCGTAGGATGATACTGACTTGTACATTTTCCCTCTGGGATCGGGGTAGACGATAGCAAAGCTGAAGTGGGTCCCCTTTTTCCTGGCTTCTGGATACACTTCCTTCACTAAGCTGGTCAGCTCCTTCAGGGTAGCATCCATCCTGAAACACACAATCAAAGTCCAGTTCTACATTTAGACCTACAGTACCGCAGCGATGTGCATTTGGTATCTTATAAACTCCACCTAAAACACCCGTGAACACCGACTAATTCACATTGACCAACGAATGCAGAGCGACACGTTTGCGGCCTCACCATGTGTATATTTGCAGTTCGCTGGACGGAACGTTGCCTCGAGCAAATTCATCCACCCGGTGGTGTCGGCCGCTGTTGGTGGTGAACACTCGCAGCAGGAGGGGGCAGGTCTGCAAATCAGAAGCAAGTACGAAAAATCTCTGGGTGAGCAGAACAGTGAAGAAACGATATCTGATCAACATAGCCGTGCATCTGTATCGCTGTCAAGCAACCTCGGAGCACCACATGTTATGTCACCATGTACTATGAAGGCAAAAAAAGTTTAAAACCACCTCAGACATCTGGGTAAGTTTAGGACACTTTCATTAACTTTTTTAATCTCATATTTCAGACGGTGCATCACATAGAAACGTGGTTAATGTGACAAATTAGTTCCTTCAAAAGTAATCAACTCTGTTCCGTTATAATGATCAGAGTGAACATTGTGCTGACAGAATCATCATGAATTCTTGTTGCACTTGACAAATGTTGTAGTGTTTTCACTGCTCTCTAGTGGCCCCATTGAGTAACTACAACTCAATGTTTTAATTAGCAACACACCAGCATAAAAGACAATAATGGCTTTTTTTGTTTTTACAGCAATTCTCAGGTTGACACTAATCAGTCGTAATAATTTACATGCAGGCAAAAAGTTTCAAACTTATGGAGCCCACTTTGTTCATGTTTTGTCCATCCCAAAATCATATCAGTGGAGGTTACACTGGAAACACCTGTGGTAGGTGGCCTCATCTCAAATCCTGACAAAGCCACTGATTGAAAGCTGTCATTTCTGATGTAACCAAGCTGTTGGTCGCTGTGCTTCAGTCATTACTCTATGCTTGTTTGTTGTCTTTCACCAGAGGCAGAATAGTGTGTACATGGAACAGAGCTGGCTGTGGCTCAGATTCACTGAAGCACAACAGACAACCTGAAGACACTCCAACCCTCAGTAAGTCCTTCATTATTGGTTTCTAGTCGGTCCTCAACTGTCCACCACCTCTGAATGGTCGTCAGCGTTACAGTGGCCACAGAGATGTATGAATGGCAGAAGTCAGAGTCCTCATTTTTCAGAGCTTGTATTTTACACCTTAAAGTTTTTAAGGCAAACAGAACACAATAAAACAGATACGGAGCCCGTAATGTGAGACTTACTGATGGCTAGCATGTCAGTTTTCCTACACGTTTGACAGCTTTAATGTTTAGTAAACGTGTACTATTAAAGTACAAAATGATGCCATGTAATTTCTCTGTTCACGGCAACAAGCTTGAATATTTGACAGCACGCTGGATGTTAACGAGCTGAAGGCTAGCTAGCACATTAGCGTTAGCCGGCTATTCATTAGGCTACTTTAATGCGCTTTAGCTGATGGTTATTGAAGCATTAACGCAGATTTTAAAACGGAAATAAAATGGAGTATACATGCTCTGTTACCGCTAGCTCAAATTTATTTTTTACAATTTAAACTCTTCCAAGCTGATAACTTAGCATGTGCGGTTAGCATAGCCCGGCTAGCTGAGCGCTCCTCAGGTAAACAAGCCGCACGGAGCAGCGCCATGAAGCCGCCGGCTACCTTCTCTCTGTCGATGGGCTTCTCCGGCTCCTTCTTTATCTCCTCCTGCGTGATCCGCGACTCCAAAGCCATCGTTGTTTTTCACTGATACCGTTATGTAGCGACTCCTGCCTTCTGGCCGGAATATATTTTTTTCGGAGCTGCAGCAACGAATGGGACAGAAAGCGTGACTGATTCCGTTTCCGGTGTCTTCTTCTTCTTGGGTGTTTGACGGAAGTTGGCCTCATTACTGCCTCCTGCCGGAAGTCTCCCTCTAACGCCGTTAACTAATTATAATTAATAAAAAAATAAAATCATTTTCTACATAAAAGCCCTGGAGCGACATATTAATAATGCTAATAACGTTTCTAATATTATTTTATTTTATTTTATTTTTGTTGATTTTATTTTATTTTAGAAGATTTTATTTTATTTTATTTTAGAAGATTTTTTTTTAATTGACATATTGTGGCTATAGAGTGATATTAAACCAAGAATAGTCTAATGTATTTTTATAAGAAATTAGAAGTCTTAGAATTCTGGATTGTTTTACTTGCTTTTTGGTTGCAAAGACAGTCGTAAGTTTTCTATTCAAACTGAATGCTTTGTCATTGTAATTCCTAGTGTAACAGCATTAATTTGAGGGCACAAGTAAAGAAGGCAGGAGATTAGAGAATGTGTTGTACCTGCTTAGAAGTACATGACACTCCTCTAAATGACAGAGTAGCTGTTTAATAATTACAGACTGGAGTGATGCTGCTACTTGGTCACAAGGCAAGAACTCAGCCTCAGACTCAACTTTATTGTCATTCTGACCAAGTGACCTGACAGAACGAAACACAACGTCACAGGTCTCAGTTTGTTGAGCGAGATAAGTAAAAGATAAGTAAAATAGTTCAGCAGTATAGAAGCTGTTTCTCAGTCTGGATGCAGCACTGTCTCCTTCCAGAGGGTAGGGTGGTGAACAGTCCAGGGTGTCATGGGGGATGCAGGTGGCTCCGTCCCTGCATCTGATGGTGTCTATGTCCCCAGTGGGTGGTCAGCTGCACCCGATGGTTCTCTGTGCAGACTTTACCACCCTCTGCAGCCCCCATACCACACAGTAAGGCAGGAGGTCAGGGAACTCTCCACCACACAGCTGGAGAAGGACCCGAGGACATCAGCCTCCAGTCCTGCCTTCTTCAGCCTCCTCAGGAAATAGAGGCGCTGGTGGTCCTTCTTCCTTACAGCTGTGGTGTTGGTGTGCCAGGTGAGGGTGTTGGTTAGGTGTACCCGGATGTGTAGAGGTGGCGGAGCAGTTCCAGACCTCCAGAAATCCACAACCATCTCCTTTGTCTTTTGGACATTTTAGTCTGTATGTGTGCATTTTACACTCCTGCCTGTCTTGGCCAACAGAGAAACAGATTCTCAATCTCCTGCTTCAATAGAAGTTTTTTTGTTGTTGTTTTTTAATCTAAAGGTTTATTTTGGTGACTTGTATTACGAAGTGCAAGTGTCACATGTACACAGCACTAAGTTTTAGGTTGGTACCTGATTTAATTGGCAAAATAACTGAACTGTAGCTTGTGGGCTGTAGTTTAAATACATCGTACTGCTTGTTCCATTAGAACCAATACACATTCCCCTACTACTACATTTTCTGTCACTTTACATGTACTAATCATCCTAATATAACTGGTACTGCTGGGTTTTACTGGTTTTGATCTTGCAAACTCTGAAAAAGATGCTGAAAGCTGCAGAAAAATCCAGTAACTTGACCTCAAACCTGGCCCGTCAGATGTCTTTCCTTCAGAAGGATCCAGTGAAATGAGAATAATAGTCCAAGAGTCTCCTCTTTTCATACCACACTGGGGTAGTATAACGTGGAGGCCTCACGGAGCTGAACCATGGGTGGAAAGAATCCCGAAATATCCCGCTGAGGTAGGGGAGCTCCTAATTTGCTGATGTTTTGCTTCACTGGTGTGACAATCTTCTAGAATAACAGTTTCTTTTACTGCTGCGAAAACAGCAAAGATGGAAACAGAACGTGAAAGACGAGGAGTTGTTTGTTGCTGTATAATCATAAAATCATAAATGTGCCACAGAGGAGACGGTTGCAGTACACCTGGGCACAAAGAGCCCTGGGTTCAGGCTTGCAGGGACACAGAAAACAGAAGCCCACATCCTATTAACATCTAACAAAACACATAACAGCAAAACAACGATGTTCAACACTCAGTAATATCCCCTCGGTGTTGTTGACAAGTTATTGTGCGTCTTTGCCAGTTAAATGTCAACAATAATCTCTTTGTTCCTTTGTTTTTGCCGCCGGCTGTTTGTCTCTGCGGTCAAATGTTACTAAATCCTGCTGGAGGTGTTTGTGTTTTTGCTCATATATCAGATTATAGGTGGCGGCTGTAACGCTGAAAACACATGCTGAGCTTAACCCCTGACAAATTACCGTTGGTGCAAAAACAGAAAAATAGGCGACGGCCAAATGTCACCAGGATCACACACAATCAACAATAACAATAATGAGAACAATGGTGATTAGAGGGGGGGGGGGATTAGCCTTAATCTGGGGTATCTGTGTGTTTGTTTAAAGGGGCAGATATGCTCATTAAGAAGTCATCTATACAGCCTAACACCTCAGAGACGGGCGAGTAATCTGCTTGTTGGGAGATTATAACAAAAAACAATCCAAGTGTGTGTCCGGCTGATGATCACAGGCGGAGTTACTGTCATAATTAGCCAGATGATCTAATGAACAGATGTCTGCCAGCTTCCTCCTGCCATCTCACAGGCCCTCATGCTCACCGCTGCCTCCTGTTTGTGTCCGACTGTGATCTGCTCAGGAGAGAAGAGCTTGTTTTTCCTTCTACCTGAGGAGCTGTGCGTGCAGCGGGGCGAACCTCCAGCAGCCAGACGATGGCAGCATTTGTGCAGCCTGTGGTTTGCACGGAAGCCTCTGACGCATTTGCTTTAGCCGTTCCCCCACACTCCTCTGTGAGATGGCTGTTTTTCATTCAGAGTGAACATTTTGTGAATATGCAGCAAAGTGCAGCAGAAGCACAACACGGCGTCAGATCCGCTCTGACTGTTTCACAGAGCAAATGTCACTTTCCTAATGGGTGATTATGAGCAAATGTGTTGGAGAGCTGCACGATGAGGGACTGAAATAGGAAACGCGAGGTTCCAGTTGGAGAGGAATACCCACAGGTTTAAAAATAGGCCACAACACTCCTTATATAACAAGTGGGTTGTTTACAGTGCTGCTGCCTGACAAATGAATGCTTACAATCCAGCATTATGGTGCACATTTCAAATCCTCATTAATCCAAATGGGGCTCAATTATCCTGCCAATCACATTTTTTTAAAAATACATATATAAAAGCAAGTTTTCATTTGATCATATTTACAGAGTGTTTGTGCTTTCATTTCACTCTGGCATTTGGAGGAATTCCTGTTGTTTAATGTGCTGCTGATATTTTCTGTTTCTACATGAGAGAGCAGCAGGAGAGCAGGGGGCGGGGCCTGCCGGGCTTGAATAATGCGAGCAGCCAATGAACGGCGGCGCAGCGCGGTGATGGACAGGCACGGCCCCTGCAGGACGCCCCGCCCCCCTATGACTCCGTGTTTTATTCTGTTTTTAGAGCAGCAGCGTCACATGTTGTTTTTCTCCAGGATCAGATCTGCTCTGGACCCGCTGCACTGTTGCTCGCACCGCGGCGGACAGCGGACACACGCATCCTGCTATGGATTAGAAGAAAACGTCTGCTGAAGTTTATTTTTATTGCTGTGCAGTTTTTAAGATTTAAAAATTCGCTGATTTGGAAAAAAAAAAAAAGAAGAAGAAGAAGAAAAAGAGAGAAGCGGTGAGAAATGGCAAGTCCTCCGGCGACGGGAGGACACCTGTTATCTAATGGGACGAACGGGGTGAAGAAGTGCGGCTACCTGAGGAAGCAGAAACACGGACACAGACGCTTCTTCGTGCTCCGGGAGCCCACGGAGCGCTGCGCCGCGCGCCTGGAGTACTATGAGAGCGAGAAGAAATGGAGGAACAAGTCGGCGGCCAAGCGGGTCATAACTTTGGACTCGTGTCTGTGCGTAAACAAACGGGCCGACGCCAAACACAAGCACCTGATCGCCCTCTACACCAAGGACGAGTACTTCGCGGTGGCTGCGGACAACGAGCAGGAGCAGGAGAGCTGGTACCGGGTCCTCACGGATCTAATAGCTGAGGGGAAAGTGTACGACAGCCCCGCGTCCACGTCCTCCTTAGTGGGCTTTGAAGAATCCAGCTACGGACTGCTTTCTCCCGCTACAGCTGTCTATAAGGAGGTATGGCAGGTCAACTTGAAATCCAAAGGCTTGGGTCAGATCAAGAACCTCACTGGAGTGTACCGGCTGTGTTTGTCCAGCCGGACCATCAGCTTCGTCAAACTGAACTCTGAAACAGCTGCTGTCAGTTTACAGCTCATGAACATCAGAAGATGCGGCCACTCAGACAGCTTCTTCTTCATCGAGGTGGGCCGGTCGGCGGTCACCGGGCCAGGGGAGTTCTGGATGCAGGCAGAGGACTCGGTGGTGGCGCAGAACATCCATGAGACCATCCTGGAGGCCATGAAGGCCATGAAGGAGCTCTCTGAGTTCAGGCCGAGGAGCAAAAGCCAGTCTGCCAGCACCAACCCCATCTCTGTGCCCACACGACGCAACCTCAACAACCTCCCCCCCAGTCAGACGGGCCTGGTGAGGAGGTCCAGGACGGACAGCATGGCGGCCACGTCTCCAGGGAGGAAGTTCACGTCCTGTCGGATAAGAACGGCCAGCGAGGGGGACGGAAGCGTGACCCGGCCGGTGTCCATGTCCATATCTGTGAACGGGAGTCCCACCAGCCCCAACTCTTCGAACCACCTCAGCAGGTCCAACACCCTCAGCAGCGGACGCACCTGCAGGATGCTGGAGTCCACCTCCAACCTGCATCACAGCCGCTCTATGCCAGTTTCTAACTCCCCTCCTGCTGCCTCCAGCCCCATCAGCATGTCTCCCAGAGGGGGGGCCAGTATCTCCACTCCTGACAAAGCCAGGCGGCCCTTCAGCTGCAGCGCCTCCATCTCCGGCTCCCTCAGCGACACCGGCTTCATGCTCTGTGATGATTACAGCTCCAGCCCGGGGGAGCCCAGGTTCCTCCCGCTGACCCGCAGCGACACCCCGGACTCCCTGTCCAGCACGCCTCCGTCCCGGGACACCAGCGACCCCTGTGGCTACATGATAATGGAAGGAGCAAATGGCAGCAGGTCTGGATATGAGGGTCTGGCTTACAGGAAGCGAACGCACTCCCTGACCACGCCACGGCAGCAGAAGGTGGTGACGCCCCTCTCCTCGGCCTCTCTGGATGAGTACACATTAATGAGGATGGCCCACGGACACAACTCCCACTCCGCCTCCCCGAAAGTGTGCTACCCCGAGGATTATGGAGACATAGAAATAGGCTCATCCAGAAGCTCCAGCAGTAACCTTGGCGACGATGGCTACATGCCCATGACGCCAGGTGTAGCACCTCCGTCTGGCAAAGCAGACAACTACGTGCCCATGAGCCCCATGTGTGTCTCAGCACCGAAGCAGATTGTGAACCCCAGGGTGCATCCGCAGGCAGCAGCCAGTGGCGGCTACAAGACCAACTCCCCCTGCAGCAGCTCTCTGGAGGACAACGGCTACATGAGGATGTGGTGCGGCTCCAAATCCTCCATCGAGAGCCCGGACAGACACGGTGAATACATGAACATGTCACCTGGAAACCCACCCCCACTCCAGACGCCCCCTGATTACTACCTGGGCCTGCTGGCAGCTGAGCCTGCATCAGTCAGGCCGGCCTACCAGACCGGCTCCCTCACGCTACCTGCTAAGCTTCAAGCCTCCAAGAATGAAGATAACAGCCAGTATGTGCTAATGAGCCCGCAGAGTCTGAGGCAGAGGGCAGTGGAGTCAGACTACTATTCAGTGATGCAGCCCAGTGCAGCTCAGACGTCACCGCTGAGCCCCTCGGTACCCTCCCCGGTCCGACACAGCCGGGCAGAGAGCCTGCCCTACAGGGGGAGGCTGGGCCGGCCCAACAGGCTATCTCTGGACACCCTGAGAACCCTGCCCAGCATGAACGAACACCCCCTCCCCGGAGAGCCCAGGAGTCCCGGGGAGTACATCAACATCGACTTCAGCGGCACCAGATTCTCGCCTCCCTCCCTCGTCTCCACAGAGAGCCAGTCTTCATCACTGGGCTCCAGCGGCGGGGGCCCGGGGAGGTCATCTCTGACAGACTACATAAACCTGGAGCTGGGCTCACGCTCACCCAAGGAGGCTGACACTCCCGCTGAGCGCTTGGACACACTCCCAGAGTTATCCATGTGCCCCTGCTCAGAGGATGGAGTGTACCATGTCGATAGTGAGAAAGGCTCTCAGGGCCTCGGCGATGAGGTGAAAAACGACTACACTGAGATGACGTTCGGGATGACCAGCTCGCCGCCACAGCTGGTTCCTCAGAACACAGTGAGGTATGTGTCTGTGTCATCTTTTATTCTTTATTTTATCTGTTCAAACAAAAGGTATTGATTCAGTTATTAGAAGAACAGCTCAGAGGCATCTGAATGACTGAATAAACAAAAGTACAATTTTACTGCATACATACTGATAATGGGTTATCAATGCAAATGCCAATACCAGTGATCGGGTTCATTTATTATTCTACACTGAGCCCAAAGGCAAACATATCAACTGTCCTTAATGTCCGAGTTATATGGGGATATTTTAACTGTGATATTTGCTTCTTTTTTCTGTAAATCCAGCATGAAAATGAAATAAATATCCTTTATTTGAAACACTTTTTCTCCAGCAGCCAGAGCAGCAGGGAGCGGAGGCTGTCTCTGGAGGATCAGGGTGTCCCAGAACACATTGGGGTTTTCCTGCTTGGCGCCGCTTCCTCCTCCACAGTGGACCCTGACTGCTCTGCCAAGGTCATCCGGGCCAATCCGCAGGGACGTCGGCGCCACAGCTCCGAAACCTTCTCCTCCACCGCCACCGTGACGCCGGTCTTCCCCTCCTTTGCCCGCGGCGACGCGGTGAAGAGGCACAGCTCGGTGGAGAACATCTCCTCCCGGAGCAGCGAGGGCTCCGACGAGGAGTACGGCAGCCCGGTGAACCGGCAGAACTCGGCCGGCTACCCGAACGGACTGAACTACATTGCCTTGAACCTGCTGGACAACAGGGATGTGGAGAAATGTGAGGACCTGGTTGGCTTCAAACCCACCAGCAGCTGCAAAGGGGGTATCAATGGATTACACAGCTCACCATATGTCTGTTTGGGATTCAAGGAGGCTGCAACCACTGCCAAAGGTGGGTGAGGTTTATGTCACATGAATTACTGCTAAATAAAATATCTAAACATTCAGTTTAAAGCCATAACTGATGAATGAAGTGTTTGAAGATGTTTTTCTACTGAAACATGTGACGGTGCTGCAGCTGGCGGTTAAACAGGTGGAATCAACAACAAAAGTGAAAGCAGACTTGCATTTCCTCTAAATTCAAATTCAAACTGCCCCTTTCATAATAAACAAGTGGCTGATGCTGCCTTCAGGGACTCCTCCTCAGCTCCTACGTCTGAGTTTCACAGGAGTAAAGCTCGTGGCTCCGACTCTCTTTCACAGTTGAGCAGCAGTGTGGCGTCAGGTGTCGAAGCTTCCAAACACACAGGTTGTCTGTACGTTCTCTTACCCGCCTGTGGGGTCCGTAGTTTGTTGTGATTTCAGTATTTCCCATAACATGTGAACGCAACACGAGGCTGCTGTGAAACGTGACCAGGCTGAGAGCTGTGAAGTAAACAAGCACCGTGACAGAGCAGGACGCTGCTGCTGCTGTGGGCGGCAGATACCACAAATACACAAGAATTCCACCAACGCTCATAATGAATGGAGGTTTTTACACAAGAAACCGACACGGCAGATTAATTCTGAAATGGGTTCCCAGGAACTAACAAGAACAGGGTGTCAAATAGTTTGGTGTAAATCCTATAAAACTGGTTAACCGTGGCTTGTTATTAGCAGTAATGCCGCAGGAATGAGAGTGGTAATGATCGGAGGGCATTTCCTGCTGTTGTTTTTCAGTTGGGTAGGCATTAGGATGTGTTGCACATCAATGTGACCTCTACCCAGACCCCTTATTCCCACCATCCCCTGATCAATACCGTGTCCCAGAATATCCCAGCGAGCAAAACAAAACCGTTGGCGTGGGACAGCAGACGGCGTAAACAAACCGCCGAATGTTGACTTTAAAGCCCAGTTTGACCCTCTGTCCCCTCGCTGTCCATCACACGCAGCCAGCTCGCATGTGATGGTGAGCACGTAGAGGGTTTGGGGTTGCACCCGAACATGTGAGGCCCAGCACAAGTGGATGTGTGTTTGTGTCCTTGCAGGCAGCGATGGGGGGAAAACAACAAAGCGAGCGAGTTGCTATGCAGCCATCAGGTAACTGGATGTCACGGTCTGCATTCCTGGCAGAGCTGGTTTGAAAAGTTGCTGTGAGAGGGGCCTGTTTTTGTCTGGGCCGTTTGAATAGAGAGTGGCTTTTATTTCACCACAAGGCCCCTGTGTACGGAGAGAGAGGCAGGTTTCATTTTTAGCTCGCAGAACAGGAGAAATGCTGTGTAAGTTATTAGTATTAGTACATTCTGTGCCGCTCTGGTAAATAAAGTGGAACGTACCAACATCAGGACACCCCCACCGTATGGAAAACCGTTTTTTTTCCCCAGGAGAGCCTTCATTATGCTCTCTTTAAACAGTGTCACATCCACGACGCCGACATCTTTCAGGAATTTTATTGACACTAAAAACACAACGTGCACTCGCCTGTTTGTTTTTAGCCGGACCGTGTTGCGTCGCACGTGTTCTGTGCCCACGGTAAATATTTTTATGGTGCTAATAAAGCTCGTTAAATGGGATTGACAAGGAGAGGGAGGGAGAAACAGTCAAGCACATACATGTGGACTCCAGCACGTACGCATGCAGTTCTTCTCTCTTTTTTTTTTTTTTTCCAGTGGTGTAGCCTGCATCCGTGAGCACTTGGCAGAGATGTGCAGAGCGAGAGAGGAGAGGAGCTTGTTTTGTTTTCCAGTGCTGCTTGCCTGGCTGTTTGTGGGAGAGCGAATGAATGCGTGCATAATGGGGCAGGATGGCACGTGCACTCCGCTGCCCTTCTGCCTCATTAGGCTGTTCACTTAGCAGAAGTAAGACAAGCAGAGAGGGGGAGATGGAGCACAGCCTTGTATGCTCAGTAGGAACGGGAGGGGAGGGGCTTTGGCTTTTTAAAGCAACAAACAAACTCATTGGTGAGGCCCCCTCTCGACCAAGGTGCATTCTGGGAGAGCAGGAGCCCTCCATGGCAGACCCGATCGCTTGTTTACTGAACACTCGGTTCCACCGCTGTGTTTTGCGAAGCGGGGTGAAGGAGGTCAGAGTATGCTACAGGGGTTGTTGGCGCCGGGCCCTGCTGGCGGAGGGCTTTGATTCCATGTTTATCAGGACGTCACGCTGGGCCCCTGGACCATGTGCCACTCTGACCCAAAAGTCTGCAGGTTTTCATTCCGGCCAAACACCTCTGCTGATTAGTTACCCTCTTAGTGAAATGTAGTTTGGCTGGACCGCCTCCCAGGGCAGGGGAACTGCTGGTTGCGTGCCACGGCTGTGGAGGAAGAGGTGGCTGTTTGTCAGGATCAAAGTCCCTAAACTGCCCTGTGGAATTTAGCGTTTGCCCCCCAGACCCATGTGAGACCCCCTTGGTGAGAAATTTGACTGTGCAGCTTCCAGTCAACAAAACGTTGCGGTCATAAGCTTTGATAGCTGGATATGTTGTTTTTTTTTTTCTTTTCTGTTCTCCATCTAGAGTCAGCTTAGAAGGCTGGCATAAGGGTCAGGCGTTTGTTTACCTCCTGGTTTGTCAGCGGGCCAGCCCATGTGACTTGGAGGTGGTGTTTACCTCTGCTCTAACCCAAGCTGGCCGTCTCCACTCGTGGCCCTGGCTAGCCACAGCTCAGCCAGGTGGATGTTCTGTACCAGGCCCAGATTAGCCAAGTCAGCCGTCTTTGTTCCACCTCGTCGTCTAATACCTTTATCTGACGGTGACAACCGGCTCCTGATGATTGAGATCATTGTTGCTACAGTTCAGGTTATGTATCTGGTGCCTTGACTTGACTTCCTTTCACTGGAGATGTGCATCTCTGGAATTGAATTTTCATTTTAACCAATCATTTCACCAGCAGCCTGACAGCCAGCAGGAGACAGACTGAAGGTGAAAAAAGGGGGTAAAGGGGCTTCAGGAGTGGAGGAGCCCCGCTGTGACACTTGGACTCCTTCCTGAGTGCTAGTGACAGATGGCCACTCTCCAGAGGGCAAATGTGTGAGAGTGTGTGCGTGTGGTTGGGGGTGGGATGGAGGGGGGTAAACACCTGCCACCCTGCTCTATCTGCACACACATGCAAACACTCTCATTACACCGATTTCCTGCACCGTGCACACAGCAGCATGTAAACACATACATGCCGCTATACGTCCCTCTCTAGTGCACCTACTCACTATCCCTCCGCTAATGACGGCCCACCATCTGCCGCACCCACGGCCTGCACAGAGCATGACCATCAGCGGCGAGCCAGTGTGTGTGTGTGTGTGTGTGTGTGTGTGTGTGTGTGTGTGTGTGTAATTTGTCGGCCAGATTAGAGACATCCACGTCCATCTACTCAAATCCCGCTTCCTCTTAACGTCATTCAGGCGGTTGTGCTGCGAGTGATGTCATCGCAGAGATGATGTGGTGGGCGAACGCAGCCAGAGCATGTTCTGTGTATCTGTGTTACACACAGGCCCTTTGATGGGGATGTTAGAGGAAAGCAAGCGAAAGAGGTCTACGTGCACAGCCATGCATCTCTAACGTGCTCTGAGCATGCTCAGTAGAGGCTGTCGGAGTCGATAGTGGTTCCTAAACTGGAAGTCGGGATCCGTGCTGTGGGTCACAGGATGAATGCTGGAGGTTCATGAGCTTCATCATGAGATGAGGAGGAGGAGGAGGTGTTTCTGATTCTAGCTTTATATGATGATGATTAATTCACGTATACTTGATGTGTAATTGACTTGATGCCACATGTTCCTCTGCTGACAGTTTGGTCGCCGTGTTCAGTCACATTCTGTTCTGCTATTTGCAGAATTACTCATAAAGGTGACACCTGATTGTACCCATCAGCCTGATTGTCCAATCCATTGTTACCGCGTCGCTGCACACTGGCTCCAACACACACACACACACACACACCAGCTGTTTAACGGTTTGCTAATCGGAGCTGCATTGTAGCCGAGATCTTACAAACACAACAAAGCAAATAGGCAAGACAGGAAATCCAGAAATGCTGTGTTACATGATGTATGGAGAACAAACACGTAACACCGCGGGCTCTTGTGTCAGAGTTTCCAGGCAGTGTGTGAGTGTGTGTGTGTGTGAGTGTGTGTGTGTGTGAGTGTGTGTGTGTCATGGCTCAGGGAGGTGGAGGGGGGCTAAAGTAGGCCGGGATGTTCCAGACAGAAGCGCTAGCTGCTAGATAACTGCGTGGCCAGCGTTCCCCACATTTAGCCAGCCACGGCTCCAGATGAGATTACAGCCTCTGCAGGCGAGATTAGACGGCTGGGGGTAGATGAGCGAGAGCCAGCGGCTACTCCACGGACAGCAGCTGGGGAATACGTAACACAAGGTGTGGGCATTTATTCGCTCAGATTTGAGTCTGAACTTGAAGCCGAGCACACGTCAAGCTAACAGTCAACCACATGTGAAGTCATCACGTATCAGCCAAACAGTGACATCATTCCAGTTATCAGATGTTCAAATGATGTTAATATTAAATGATACATGATGCAGGGACGTATCTTAGCATCCTTCTGTTCTATCATTTCATTGTGTTAAAAATACCTTTAAAGGATCTAAATGTGTGACTCGGTAAAGACAAACGCTGTTGACCGGCTGGTGATGGTGTTTATTCTGGGCTCTTTCTTCGTATCCACGCTCCAAAAATGGCAACTTTTCAGGAACTTAGAAAACCAGGCTTGCTTTCAGCCTGACCGCTGTGCATTTTTGAGGTCATCCGACTGCCTTTTTGAAAAGTTTCCTCGCCCAAAGACCTCGCACGCTTTCACGAAACACGTCTGCAGAGGGGGTATCTGGAGCCGGTAGCTTCTGCAGGCCTCATCCTCTTCATCCCCCCCCTCCCTCCGTCCACCACCCCGTCCCTCGACCCACTCATGATCAAACCCCACGGAGCCACCGACATCTGTTGCAACATCAACGCAACCGCAGCGTCTCCACGGAGAGAAGCAGCTCCTGTGCTGCTGCTGCCGGTCCTCCTCTCCTCGCTCGGCGTGTGTCCATAGCAACACGGCTGCCTGACAGGAGACCCCCCAACCCCCATCGCTCCACATCCTAGATTATGTAATTACGACGGTTGCAGAACAGCCCCCCTGCCACACACACACACACACACACACACACACACACACACACACACACGACTGCCCTTCAACGGCTGGTGTGTAAAACCAGGGAATTACTGCCCAGTAAGACTCGTCACACATCATGTCGTCTGTGATGAAGCAAAACGCATCCTAAACATCCCCGTTAAGACCCGTAGCGTGCTCCGACTTTTACACAAATGTGGATGTAAAAAAATAAAAATAAATAAATAAATAAATAAAAGCCCTCCGACGTGTGCTGCACTCACTGTTCTTGATATTTAAGCTGTTTTTCTCGGTGTCTCCTTGTTATTGTGCCACAGAAGCCCTAATGAGTCCGTGAATGAGTTCACGCTGTACAGTAGCAGCGTAACACTCTGTTCCCTCCTCAGGTCCGCCCTCTCAAAGGTCTGCTTAATTGGCACCAGTGTTGTTTGTGGGAAAATAAAACAGACGAGTTTGTTTGGAGTGTTTAGGATTCTCGTGTCATCGGAGGCAGTGGAATGTTGAAGGTGTCCTGTGGAGGTGTTTGGTCTCGTTGTGCTGCAGAGCTGTGCATTAAAGCTGTTGATTCATGTGCAAATAGTAAACAATGCAGCTTTTTTTTATTATTTTGGCTTTGAAATCATTTCAGATTTACATATATTTTGGTGAAAAACGCTGAACTACACATGAAGACTTAAAGCTGTAATGCACATTTTTTTGTAAACAAACAAACATCATCAAACATAAAAGTCACATTTGCTCATTTTAATGCCGACAAATGTTCGTCCTGCAGCAGTGACGTGTTTTCAGTGTTTCAAACGTTAATCATGTCCGTTAACGCCTCTCCTTTCTGTCTCGTCCTCTCTTGCAGACTGAAGGACTCGTCTGTCCTCGGATCCTCTTGGCATCTTGACTGACCTGCTGCTGAAAAAACAAAACAAACAGAATCTACTTTGCCCTTCCACTGGGCTGTTTGGCCCGAAAGACTGTCTGGACCCTCACAAACACACACGTTGAACAAGCAGGTCACCATCTATGCATGTCATGAATTTGCTGAAGGCAGGACAGGTGTGTGTGTCTGTGTGTGTGTGAATGACTGGTTGTGTGTGTGTGTGTGTGTGTGTGTGTCTGGGTGTGTGTGTGTGTGTGTCGGTGCGTCTCATGTTCCCTGCACTTTTAGAGGCCATTTCTCCTGTGACCCAAATTTTGGCACAAGCACAGAAGCAAAGATAGTCAGACAATAACAGAACTCTAATGGTACCAGATCCTATTTATTTACTTGAGGGTAGTTTTACCTGCGTGTGTGCGAGTGTGTGTTTCTGAACGTACGACCAACTGGTGTGCCAGTGAACAAGGAAGCCTGCTACGGAGATGGCCCAGAGGGAGGAAACCAAGGTACACTGAGTATATAACTATATTTAGATTAGATATTTTATTTATTTTTGGATGATGAATGTCTGATAAGACCTACCCGATGCCTTAATGTCTATACTGTCCTTATGTTTTCTATGAAATAAGCGATAAATATTCTATTATGGTATGTCTGTTTGGACCTACATCTCTATATTGTTATTATTCTCTTGTGGAAAGTTAAATGCCTAGTTTACCATTCTAATATATGATTTCAGACATGTACAGTACAGTGGGGCTGCTCCAGATCTGATTTATTGTATTGATATTAAAGTATTTTCTTAATTACTAATTTCTTATTCCTTCTAACCTAGTTTATTTTTTTGTCCAATCAAAAGCGCTGGACTTAAAGAAATATATTTCTAATTGTCTCTAGGAGTTCTGCATGTCTTTATAACTCAGCTCAGACCCCCCACAGCACCAGGCATCTGAATGCACTGTACCTCCCACAGTTCCTCAGTCACTTGAGCCTGCAAACCTCACACACTCCTACCTTCAAACCTACGGCCTGCTGTTTTAGCTGGACGCACGCCGCCCTGCTGTGATATCATTTGACTGTACAACTGTCTAGATGGGTGATAGCGGAGGGGTGGAGCCAACGGAAAAACTGTGGAGGTTAAAGGGGCACAGTTGAGACGGTTTCAGTCCAGCGAGTGAGACCTGAAGTAAATCGGGGGAGGAAGGGGCGCCGAGTGGTGGGAGAGCCACATCTGGCACCATCATGGAGGTTCACCGGAGAATCATCTGTCTGGAAAATGTAATAACCTGGCAGACAGAATAAAAAAATAAGAGCTGGCTGAGGAGGATTATGTAATGTTCTAAACTAAAGCAAGACTATGTAACTGTAACACTGCATAAGATTAAACTGTGTACAGGATAGATGCTAAATGTATGTAGCATTTAGCAGAAGGGGACAATCAAGTTAGCAAACAGTTAACTTGTATAATACAACTGTTTCCAATGTTTGCTTACAATATTCACTGTTAGCTAGCATTGCTCAATGTTAGCGTCTGGCTTGTGTTAGCTAACATTATCCAAATTTAGTTACAGGCTAGTATTAGCCAGTATTATTCAACGTTAGCAAGTGGCTGACATTAGCTATCATCAGCTAACATTACTCCACATTAGCTTCTGGCTAGCATGATTCAATGTTAGCTTCTGGTGTGTATTAGCTAACAATATCCAAATTTAGTTACTGGCTAATATTAGCTAGCATTATTCAACGTTAACGAGTGGCTGACATTAGCTATCATTAGCTAACATTACTCCACATTAGCTTCTAAATGATTCAATGTTAGCTTCTCGTGTGTATTAGCTAACACTAATATTAGCGAGTATTGTTCAACAGTAGTTAGTGGTTGATATTAGCTACTGTTATTCAGCATTAGCTTCTGGCTAGTGGTCATACCAGAGTAATTATGGTAGCAGCAAAACCCTTGACTGTAATGAATTGAGCAACAACGTTTTATCCGCATGAACTAGTAACAGGAAACTCATTCTTTTAAAAAGTTTGACAGCTTCTTATTAAAATTTACTTTTCAGGATGCTAATGTTCATGTAATGCTAGAATAAGTTCACAATAGTTGGAAAAAGTAAGCAAACTGACTCAGCAATATCAGTCTGCTAACGTTAGCTGACATTAGCTACCAGTGACAAAAAAAAATCTACAGGAAAAACTTTTTATTTGTTCAGGGAAGAATGTCATATTTCTTCTTTAGATGTTACATGGTCTTGTTTTTAAATTTTGATCGATGGGGAAAACGGCAAACAGTAACCAAAAAAAATTAAAATCCTGCCGCTTCCCAAGAGCCTCCAAAATGGCCACCAGGGTATCCATTATTAACATGATTTATAAAAGCGCCCTCTGCATCCCGACTGTGGTCTTTCTGTCGTCCGCTGTGCCGACTCCAACTGGCTCACGACCCCTTTAGTGTACAGTAGATTGTAAACCTTTGTCTGAATGTATCACTGAGCTGGTGGGAACACCGCAGAAATAATGTGCAAATGGTTCTGACAAGAGTTGAATAATAACGGAGCTGTACCACGCCGAGTCGTGGAATCTATTTATCTTCAGAGTCTTGAATGTGTATATTATGTACATAGAAAGAGTTTAACTAAAAAAAGATCTATTGAACATACATAGAGGACTTAGATTTTACCTTTGTTGCAATGATATTCCTGTGTAAAGACTTTGGCTACCGATTTTTAAAAGGGGGACGGGGTTTTTGCTTTGGGGTTGTACAGTGTATTGTATGCTTTTCTCCCTCACAGTCTCTGTGACTATATGAAAAAAATATTCTTTGTCTATTTTATTATAGAGATCTCTTTGCCTTGTCGACACACTTTACCTAATGGCATATGCAATAGTGACATGAATAAACTCTAGTTTACAACTGTGGAACCAAATGTAACATTGCATTGATTTATTTTCTCTTTGTGTGACGAGCGGGAGCAGCTTTGCTCCGTGTACATTTCTCTTTCTGCCAAGTGTTTTGTTTTTCATCGCTGGGATCTTTGTTCTGTCGAAAAGCGCTTTTTCCCATCTCTGTGTCCACGGACGGATTCTTCTTTGGTCTTGGATTGACTCAGTTTGAATGTGTTGTTGTCTTCCATTGTACATAGTTCAATATACTGTTTATTGTGATGCTCACAAGAGAGGATTATAATGATTTTTAAATTCTGGTAGTTGAGTATTGCTTTTGTCTGTATTAATTATGGATAGAAACCTACAGAAATAAATGAATTTATTTAAAGAGATACAACTTTGTCTTCGTTGTTTGATTTCCACAAGTTATATGTCATTCAACCTGAACACCAGAGTCGTGATGCACGATATTAAAACGATTTCTGGCCGATACTGATGTCTGATATAAACCTGTTCAGCCCTGAGCTACTTTTCAGACCTCTACTCGAAAATGACACAATAACAAGAGTTCATCTGCAACCACAAAGTCTGTTTCAATAATTCTTGTGTCACAACAAAAGGAACACTAGTAAGATGTGTTCAGATGTGTAAACATCAGCATGTATGTTACTGGTTCAGAGTAAATGAAGATGGCGCACAGCACAGAGGAAACATTTTCAGGTTCACTTAAAAAAAACCCTTCCAGGATAATGATCTGTGTGGACTGATCCAGCTGCAGCTCTGAACCTCTCCCAGATCAGAGACAACATGTGAACATTGTGACTCTGGCTCACTGGTGACCATCTGAATGTTCTCATGTACAAACTATATATTCCACTAGTATATCACTGATGGGGTTCAATACATCCACATACAGCAGCTCTTTAGTTTCCTGAACATCCAACCAGACCGCTGTCTGTGTTCCGCGTCCTGATGCTGATCAGACTGCTGTGAAGCTCCTGTGGTGACGCAAGGCCGTATCTCCGTCATGATTGGTCGGTTTTAGTGATTGACACCGCCTTCGAATCGCTTGAGCCAATAAAATACAGCAACAGCCACCAAAATGAGATTGACAGCACTGTTAGCCAATAAGAATCAGCAGGACGCCATCTTGAAGACTTGCTGAGCGAGTGTTCACTCCTTTGCTCCCTGAGGCTAACGGAGCCTCCAGAAGACGCCCGGAATGATTTCAGTGTAACACAGGAAGTAGTACCAACTGCTTCCGGTGTGGATTTACCGATCAAACAAACTTTTCACGGCTGAACAGCTATAAGGTAAGAGACATGTTACAGCTCCGGTTTGGGTTTGTGCTGTTCTTTGGGTTGTTTCTCGCTGATGCTTTGATCTCAGAGAGCTTTGATGGACATGTCTGGACTCTGTGGACCGTCTGCTTTGGTCTGAGGCCTGTTGGAGCGTTTAGCATAAAGTACCAAAGAAATGAGGCGAGTGGGTTGACTGGGTGGCGCTATGTCCATGTCCATGTGTGATAATTCATGTAGTTGGTGTGTGAGGTGTGTTTGGGGCGTGTAGACGTGGCTGATAGGTTCTGGTAGCCCAGGTTCTGATGTTTAATCTGATGTGCAGCATGAGTGCATC